TTTTGTATTTTAGTAGAGATGGGGTTTCACCATGTTGGCCAGGATGGTCTCGATATCCTGACCTCATGATCCACCTGCCTCAGCCTCCCAAAGTGTTGGGATTACAGGCGTGAGCCAACGCACCCGGCCTATTCTCTCATGTTTTATTATTCTCTCTCCTTTCGTCTTACTCCACTTACCAGTGTTCCTGCCCAAAGTGTCACATTTTATGCTGAACAAATCTTCATAGCTATAACCACTTATTGAACATCTGACCCAGTTCCTGGTCTTAACAGATTTGCACTCTCCCCCGGGAATACTATTTTCCCTGTAGCCTTCTTGACTGGGCTCATTCTCCTACACCTGCCTTAGAATTGGCACGCGGACTCAGGGTCCAGCTCACTGCCCGCTACTGTTTTCAAGCCATTCCCTCCTGACTCTTTTATTTATTTATTTATTTCTGAGACGGAGTCTCGCTCTGTCGCCCAGGCTGGAGTGCAGCAGCGTGATCTTGGCTCACTGCAACCTCCGCCTCCCAGGTTCAAGTGATTCTCCTGCCTCAGCCTCCTGAGCAGCTGGCACTACAGGCGCATGCCACTATGCCCAGCTAATTTTTGTATTATTAGTAGAGACGGGGTTTCACCATGTTGGCCAGGCTGGTCTCGAACCCCTGACCTCGTGATCCTCCCGCCTCAGCCTGACAAAGTGCTGGGATGACAGGCGTGAGCCACTGTGCCTGGCCCCTCCCCACTCTTGTGGCTCCTCAGAGGCTCATTTCCCCTGGTTGTGTCACCACTGCCCCTGTACATCAGTGTCATCTGTTCCCCTTCAGTCACTCTCCTCTTGCACTGACTTTTTCTCTTTCAGCCTGGGTGACATCAACATCCATGTGGACAATCCTGGAGATTCTTAGTGACCTCAGCTCAAGTGATTTTTGTTTCTTCCTCCTTTAGTAACCTAATTCTATGGCCACACGCTCATTGCTGCCATTACTTGGGAACTTGTTAAATGTCAGGAAGCATAAATGGGAACATCCCACTCTTTGACCAAAGTCTTTTATCCTTAGCAATCTAACCTGACTTCACCTATTCTTTGCCCGTACTGGGGCCACTATGAATGGAGGAATTTCAGTATCTTGGCCTCCCTGGTATTTTTCCTTCTTTCTTTTTTTTTTTTTTCTTGAGACGGAGTCTCCCTCTGTTGCCCAGGCTGGAGTGCGGTGGTGCAATCTCGGCTCACTGCAACCTCTGCCACCCAGGTTCAAGCAATTCTCCTGTCTCAGCCTCCTGAGTAGCTGGGAGTACAGGAATGTGTCACAACGCCCAGCTAATTTTTTTGTATTTTTAGTAGAGACGGGGTTTCACCATGTTGGCCAGGCTGGTCTCAAACTCCTGACCTTAAGTGATCTGCTGCCTTGATCTCCCAAAGTGCTGGGATTACAGGCATGAGCCACCGTGTCCAGGCCCTTCCTGGTATTCTGCTATCATGACCTTACTCTAGTCACTCCTTTCGTATCCAGTATAGAGTCTATGGCCTATAACTTCTTTTTTCTTTTAAAAATAACTTTATTAAGAGGTATAATTGACATACCATAGGATTTTCTCATTTTAAGTATACTATTCAATAACTTTTAATACATTTACCAAGTTGTACAGTCTTTACCATAACCCAGTTTTAGAACATTTACATCACACCAATGAGATTCCTCATGGCTATGGCTATTTAATTTCCCGTTTTTTTTTTTTGTTTTTTTTTTTTTTTTTTTTTTTTGAGATGGAGTCTCACTCTATCAAACAGGCTGGAGTGTAGTGGCGCGATCTCAGCTCACTGCAACCTCTGCCTCCCGGGTTCAAGCAATTCGCTGCCTCAGCCTCCAGAGTAGCTGGGATTACAGATGCCCACCACCACGCCCAGCTAATTTTTGTATTTTCACTAGAGACGGGGTTTTACCATCTTGGCCAGGCTGGTCTTGAACTCCTGACCTTGTGATCCACCCGCCTCGGCCTCCCAAAGTGCTGGGATGACAGGCGTGAGCCACCGTGCCTGGCCTATTTAGTTAATTTCTATTCCCACCCTCTAGCTCCAGGAAACTACTATATACACGTGGTTTTGGAGCTCAGCCCTGCTGGTCCGGCTGTCCTGAGGTTGCCCTTGCCCCGTGCCTGTGCTGGGCCTTCCACCACCTTGTTTCCTACCGCATGGCGTAGGTCATCCGGTCGGGCCGCATGGCTCTCATCACGCAGAGGCGCTGCAGGGCTGTCTTGTTCTTCCACTCCTGTGGAAGCTTCTCCTTCTCAGGACATTCGGACTCCACAAACTTTTTCCAGCTCTTAGCAGATCCCTCTATGTCCCGATCCAGATTACAGAATTCTTCCATTGAGGAAAGTACCTGGGAAATTTCAGAGAATCTGAAAGGCAGTTTCTTCAGAAAGCTGCCATTTGCATTGTGTTGGGGCACTGAGGGGCAAGATGGTCTTATCTACACAATTCTGTCTCATTTATCCTCTTGTCTAGAACTTTGGATCGTCCCCCAGGAAAAATCAAGAAAGAGGAAGAATTTTGGGCAGCTTAGTAAAGTGCCCCAATAATATGCAAGATTTAGCATATAAAATGTTTGGAATATTATTAGCAGCAGAGACTGAGCCACACCTGCCTGTAAGCGTGTACATGGAAAAGAGGGACAAAAAGGGGCATTATGGTTATTCTGGTCTTAAGCTTGGACACCTAAAGTTAGTGACTTCTCCCTTTCCTCCTCAAACTCACTGTGCCACCAAACTCTGTCAATTCACCTCTCAAAATGTTTCTAGAATTATTCATGTACTCTGTGTTAACGCCAACTCTTAAAACGTTCATGGGTTGTCTATTTCTATAAGGATTCTGTCCAAATGCATAACTTGGTAGCCAGATCTCTTCATTTGGTGCCTCTCTTCAATCTGTCCAGTAAGCCGTGTGTCCTCCTACTTGGTCCCACTCTGAGCATATCTGCCCCCAACCTTGGAAATGTGCCTGACTCATTCCCAACTCATTTCCTTGTTCATACTACTTCCATCGTATGTAAAGTCCTGTTTTCTTTTCTGCCACATTCTACTTCTTCCTTTTCTTGTGCTGGTCACGATTGTTACATGTTAAGGCTCTACAAGCTGTGAAAGACCAGTTCAAAACCTGCAACCTCCCTCGTGCCATCTTTCCTAATGCAGAACATGTAGACCTCCCATCCTTTTGTAAACCACTCAGAGCAGTTTGTCCAACCCACTGCCCTTGGCCCCGGCCGTATGCAGCCTAGGATAGCTTTGAAGGCGGCCCAACACAAATTCATAAACTTTCATGAAACATTATGAGTTTCTTTGTGATATATATATACTTTTAGCTCATCAACTGTCATTAGTGTTAGTGTTTTTGTTTTGTTTTGTTTTTGAGACGGAGTCTCGTTCTGTTGCCCAGGCTGGAGTACAATGGCACGATCTTGGCTCACTGCAACCTCCGCCTCCCAGATTCAAGCAATTCTCCTGCCTTAGCCTCCCGAGTAGCTGGGACTACAGGTGCACACCACCACGGCTGGCTAATTTTTGTATTTTTAGAAGAGACGGGGTTTCACCATATTGGTCAGACTGGTCTTGAACTCCTGACCTCAGGCAATCCACCCGCCTCGACCTCCCAAAGTGCTGGGATTACAGGCTTGAGCCACCGTGCCCGGCCCCAGTGTTAGTGTGTTTTATGTGTGGTCCAAGACAATTCTTCTTCTTCCAATGTAGCCTAGAGAAGCCAAAAGATTGGACTCCCCTGACTTAGAGCTACTTGCAGAGTTGACATCTTTAAAAAAGAGTTTGACTTCATTTTTAGATGTTTGACTGCTGATAGCTTTTAAATCTCATCTTTTCCTCTTCCCCTTCTGCCCTGGGCACTGCCTCTTTTGATGCTGGAGGGAAGTTGTACCAGGCAAGCCCCTGCCCATGCACAGACACCCTTGCCCTGGCCCCACCCCAGAAGCATCATAATACTCAAGGCAGTCTCCTTTTCTGGCACTCTCAAGCCATTTGCAGTCTGCTTGGGAGCTCCTCTGCTCTTCCTAGAAAACCACGTTATCTGAGTAATAAACTTTCTCATACCCTCTTAGTATGTATGTAGCATCATCCGTCTTGATGTTGAAACCATATTTTGGGCGTGTGTGTGTAGGAGGTCTGTTCTATTTCTTTAGAGTGCCTACATCAACATCACTCACTTAGATACTTAATTACCTGCAGTCCTGCCTTCATTACTCAATTGTGCCTGAATGCCTGGTTTCCCCAATGACGTGAAAAGCTAGATGAGACTTTGTGTCTAAGGCACCTACCACAGTGCCTTGAGATTTTAGGAACCCAATATCATCTTTCTATTTGGACGAATTCATTCATTCATTCATTCTTTTGACATTCATTCAGTTCCTACTACCTGCCAGATACTGGGGAAGACAATAGGAAAAAACAATAGCAACAAAAAAACACAAGCCTTTCACGGAGCCTGCAGTCCTAGCTTAGGGAGCAAGGAGATGAGGGAGGCCTTGGTAGGTATGTAGAATTCCGCTGGGCAGAGATAGAGGTAGAGAGAAGGAAAGGGATTTTTTTGGGGGGGGAAGGATCAAGAAGAGCTAAAGCATGGAGGAGGGAGAGTGTAGGGCCTGATAGGAAGCAGCATGTTTGCTGCAGAGGAGTCTTTTCCCTTACCACTGATAGGAACAGCTGGAGAAGGACAGAGGCATGTGACCAGGGCTTGCGGAGGCTTTTGTCCCGTGGCAATGAATACACGTCCTAGCTTTACATATTCCTTTACATGGGCTCTGTGGCTTCCCAGTTTCACTCTGATCGCTTACAGCAGGGAGTGATCCTTCATTGGTACGGGTAAGTCACGTGGAGTGGTGTATGGAGGGAGTGGAGCAGGAGGCACTGGGGGACTGGAGTTCTGGCCCCAGCACCACCACTTTTGAGCCAATGGACTTGGAACCTGTTTTAAAACCCTTGTGAGTGTTTTTTTTCATTTGGAAAATGAGGCCAAGTCATGCGGTCTGCCACATCTCACACTGTAATGTAGATACAAGTGCTTTGAAGGCTACAAAGCTCTCCCTTTGCCTTCCTTGGGGGCTCATGTGGCTATTGAATTGCAACTGCTGGTTTACTTGTCTGTTACTCCCACAAGACTGTGAGCTCCCTGAGGGCAAGAACTTTTGTAGGCCTCTTTGTCGCCTTAGACCTAGCAGGGTGCTGCCTGGCACTTAGGAAATGCTCAGTTAATAAGATTTGACATCTGCCTGGCCAGCAGGAGGGCTCCTGACAGGCTGAGAAAGCTGCAGCTGCTGTAATTATTTCTCTCTGTGCTGAAGAGCTGACTTTCATCTTCTTCCAGGCAGCCACTCACCCCCTCTTCCCAGTTTGCATCATTATTAACCCTTCTGCAGTCCTGCAACCCCCTCTGGCGTCTCCACAAAACTGGGCAAATTACACTGTGATCAGTGCTCCCAGCTGCCAGGGCTGGATCTGAAACATACTTTCTTGAAGCTCTAGATTGAATACAATTGCAACATTTAATCTTCCAAATGAGGAAAAGGGATTTCTAGCCTTCTAATAAGCTAAATGGGAATGACTAATTAACCTAATTACTTTGGACTGTGTAGCAAAATACAACTGAGCTAAATTGGCAACCAGAGTGGTAGTGAGGGGCCTTTTCAAAGGCTAACAAAGGCCCTCATCGCAGATGAGATTTTCTAATGAACAACAGAACATGCCCATTACCTGAAAGTTCTGCATTTGATAGGACCTAAAAAACCCTTACAAAGGACATTAATAAAAGCAGTATTTTATCACAAAGATTTTATTCATTACCTGCTTATTAGTTCTTCTGGGGAAACAAGGCAATTAGTCTTCCTCATGAGACAGAATGCTTACATTTTTTTTTTTAAAATCATGTCCTATTCAATTATCCTTTTTTTGTTTCTTTAGGCTAAAACCCAGCCAAACACTTAAAAAGAGCCTTCATCAAAGGCTTCGGCAATGAGTTCTACATAATGCACTGTGTTTCACCTGCTCACATCCTGTGCTGTGCTTGAGTTGGATGGGTCTGGACTTTGCTGCTCTTCCTAACAAATTCATATCGAAAGATAAAGCTCCTCTAGTTGGCAAAAGCCTTTGAACAGCCAGATGAGCTTCGCCCACAAAACAAAACAAAAAAGCAAAGTGAGGCAAGGCAAAGCGAACCAAACAATCCATTTTGTTAAAAGAGGAACGAAACGAAATTGTACGTAGGTTTTGGGTGGAGCTTTGTAAAATGAAAGCACTGAAGAGTGCCTGTGAATCATTTATTCCTTGTAACTTTTGCAACAGAGGGCTTTGTGGGGGTAATATAAAGAGCGGCAACTGCGTGGTGGCTCAAGCCTGTAATCCCAGCACTTTGGGAGGCCGAGACGGGCGGATCACGAGGTCAGGAGATCGAGACCATCCTGGCTAACACGGTGAAACCCTGTCTCTACTAAAAAAATACAAAAAACTAGCCGGGCGAGGTGGCGGGCGTCTGTAGTCCCAGCTACTTGGGAGGCTGAGGCAGGAGAATGGCTTGAACCCGGGAGGCGGAGGTTGCAGTGAGCCGAGATCTCACCACTGCACTCCAGCCTGGTGACAGAGCAAGACTCTGTCTAAAAAAAAAAAAAAGAAAGAAGCAGAAAGGCAGAGACTCACAGAGGGAAGACGGCCACGTGAAGATGTGAACATGGAGGCAGACCCTGGAGTTATGCTGCCACAAAGCAAAAGATACCGGGGGCTACCAGAAGCCGGAAGAGGTGAGCAAACATCCTTCCCTAAAGCCTCTGGAGGGAGCGTGGCCCCGCCGACACCTTAATTTCAGCTTTCAGCCTCCACGACTGTGAGAGAACAGATTTCTGTTGTTTTAAGCCACACCATTTGTAGTACTTTGTTAGAACACCTCTAGGAAACAAATACAGCAACCATAACCAATCAGCTTCCATTGGTTTGGCATTTACTCTGTATCTTACGTAGCCTTGTGAGGAAGGTATTACGATGACCATTTTGCAGATGAGGAAACCAAGGCTCAGAGGAATAAGATAACATGTCAGAGGGCACACGCACAAACTTGAACTTGAATCCAGGGATGTCTGACTCCAGAGCCTGTGTTAATTAGTTCATCTCCATCATTGCTCCAGTTCTGCAAAGGGGTTCATTCAGAACTGCTTTAGAGAACTAACTTATTTTCCATAAAAGCATCAAACCACGAGAAATCGTTCTCTAGCTCTGGGCCATAGTGTCCTACAAGGTAGCCACTGACCATGAGTGACTCCCAAGTACTTGAAATGTGGCTGGTGGGACTGAGAGACTGAAGTTTTAATTGCATTTAATTTTAATGGTCTTACAATTCAAGTGTAGAAAATAGGACTTGTTTTATTAATTGGAAACTTCTAAAGATTGTTGGAACAACTTGGGTATATGAATCAACCATTTTAACTCTAAATTTTATGAAATCTCAATAGAAATGTTTTGGATGAAAATTTGGCATCTGAATTGAGATGAGCTGTAAGTTTAAAAAATATTCAGCAGATTTCAAAGCCTTCGTATAAAAATACAAAATATCTCAGTAATAATTTTATAACAACTGCATATTGAGATAATATTTTGGCAGTATTGACTTAAAGAAAATATCTTGCTAAAATTGATTTTATCCATTTTTTTTTTTTTTTTTTTGAGACTGAGTTACGCTCTTGTCACCCATGCTGGAGTGCAATGGCACAATCTCAGCTCACTTCAACCTCCGCCTCCCAGGTTCAATCAATTCTCCAGCCTCAGCCTCCCAAGTAGCTGGGATTACAGCATATGCCACCACACCTGGCTAATTTTGTACTTTTAGTAGAGACGGGGTTTCACCATGTTGGCCAGGCTGGTCTTAAACTCGTGACCCTTGGCCTCCCAAAGTGCTGGGACTACAGACGTGAGCCATCATGCCTGGTCAATTTTATCCATTTTTAAAAGCATTTTTAAATGTAGCTATAGAAAATTTAAAATACTTAAGTGGTTTGCATTTCTTTTGGACAGTGCTACTGTAAAGTGTGTGTATTCATTTGTATCTTATGCAGCCCAGGAAAATGGATGGTTTCCACTTCTCGGCATTTATTGTAATCATTCTCCAGCATTTCGTAACTTTGTAATTTGGGTTTCTGTTGCAAATGGAGTTCCCCCTTATTTTTTCTCCAGGATATTATTTCCCTTCTCATTCACCAGATTGGGCCCAGAATGACAAATAAAAGTAAATAAAAATCAAATTACAACTTTATTATTTAGATCAGAGATTGGCAAACTACAGCTTGCAGGCCCAATCTGGCCCACCACCTGTTTTTGTCAATAAAGTTTTATTTGAACTCAGCCATGTCCACTCATTTACATACTGTGTATGGCTTTGGCAGAGTTGAGTAGCTGCTACAGAGTCTGGCCTGCGAAGTCTAAGTGGCCCTCATAATTGCTATGGAGTGAACTGTGTCCCTCCAAAGTAAAATATATACTGAAGAACTAACCTCCCAGACTTGTGAATGTGAACTTATTTGGAAATAGGGTCTTTGTAGATGTAATCAAGTTAAGATGGAGTCACTAGTGTGGGCCCTAATCCAATATAACTGGTGCCCTTATAAGAAGCAGAGAGACAGAGACTCGCGAGGGAAGACAGCCATGTGACGATGGGAAGATGGTGACATTTACTAAGTGGCCTTTTGCAGAAAAAGCGAGGCAACTCTTGATTTAGATACAGTCCTAAAGTTGGTTAAAACAATACAGGCTCTGAAAAAGAAGTTAGAAAACTATCTTTGAGCAACGGTTGCATTAATGGAATGAGCCTAGAATTTCCTGAGATGACTCCCTTGAAGGGGACAGCAGGTATATAAATAATTAAGTTCTAGGTTTTAGTTATAAAGTAAAACTACTTGGATGGATATCGAGGGAATCATGCTAAATGAGCACACCAATCCCACATGGTTATATGCTGTATAATTCCATTTATGTAACATCCTTGAGATGACAGAAAATTATACAAATGGAGAACAGATTCATGGTTGGTAGCTGTTGGGAACTGGGTAAGGGAAGATGTTGTTGTGGTTATAGAAGGCCAACATGAGAGGTCCTTGTAATGACGGAACTTTCTGGATTGTATCAATGACAATTTCCCAGATGTGTTCTTGTACTATAGTACTGCAAGATGTTACCATTGTGGAAAACTGGGTACAAGGGATATCTCTGTATTATTTCTTAAAATTGCATATGAATCATTGTCTCAAAATAAACCATGTTAATTAAAAAAAAGAGAAAGAAAGCCAATCATATGACTTTACTCTTCTACTTCTTTGTGCTGCTAAACATCTATAAAATGCAATAAACATGGGAGATCATAAACAAGATCTGTCTTATGCAGATGTTATTCCTCACATGGCGCTGACGCCTGTCATGGGTGCTCATTCAACTGCCCGCAGGGAGTGCAGGCTTGGACTCCGGAGCGAGCTGGCGTTGCCTCACCCAGCATTCCCTGCCAGGCATGGTGTCAGGATCTGTGAATTGCAGGCATAGTACCTACTGAAAGAACCTTAGAGTTTGTGATCTTGTCAGCACTCATAGAATCGCAGCTAAACTAAGCTGCATGACATGGAATGAAAATAGGCTCTGCCATCAGGCAGACCAAAATTTGTGTCCTGGGCTTCTGGTAAGCGTGGGACCTGTTTCCTCCTGTGTTAAACGGGAACAAATAATACCTATTGCCCAGGTGGATATGAGAATTAAATAAGGTAACGCATTTCCAAGGCACTCAATGTATAAGAGCTGTTATTAATTGCTGAGCATCCCAGGCTGAAATGCTTTCCCGCTTTGAGTCTGAGTTAGCATTCAGATGCCTGAATACAGCCCTGGCACCTGCTGTTTTATGGAAATGCTGTGGCAGCCTCTCCACATCAACCCCAGGGACTCACCGAGGAGCCCATGTTCCAGCCTTATGCCCTGGTAGGTGAAAAGCAGCTCAGCTGACTCGGGGGAGCTCACGGGAACTTCCTGTTTCCTCACACCCTGGAGGCAGAGCCCTCATACACCAGCACACACCTGCTGCTTCTCTGCAGGCCCAGGAAAGATGAGCTTGCTGTGGGGACGCAAGGAAAGGGATGTGCCCATGTTTAACACAGCTCCGTGCTTGAACTCCAGAAGAGAGCCCTGCTGACTTCATGGGGACCAGTGTCAGAGGTAAACTCTGAGAGATGACAGCTTGGCTTTTTCTAGGGGTCATTACTCACCTTGACAGCTCCCCATGCCTGATGTGAGAGGAACTCCACGGGGCTGGCGGTGCCTGTCTGCACTGGAGATCGAAGCAGGAAATCCAACTCCACTGGATTGACTTCTCGGTTCATGAGGAGAATCTGCCACGTGGGGAAATGACAGTGCATTTCTTTAGCTTGTAGCCAGAGTCCTAGAAACCTTAGGGGTTGTTACTCAGTATAATTATTACTGCCTCTAATACTAGAGTTTGCCCATCAATTTTGGTTGTTCAGTGAGGGTAGAGTGGAAGGAAGTGCATATTCACACACATTACTTCCGTGTCCATCTATTTTCACCCCAAACATTGGAGTGACTTAACTGCACACGGTGAGTGACTATATCTTGGTTAATAAGCATTTATGACATATCAATCATAAATGCCATGGAGTATGTTTCTGCAATCTAATTGAGCAGATGACGCATACAAATGACATGATCTGAGGAGAATGTCAAAGTGACGTATGAATATATGGCAGCTAGAAATGCGGCTAGGAATCCATAATGCTAAAGGAGTTACAGAAGAGAGGAGTTATCAGCAAGTGAAGGGCAGGAAGAAACTAATTTGACTCCACTTTCTATAAGTAGTTTATTTTCTTTTACTTGAAGTTCTGGGATACATGTGCAGAACGTGCAGGTTTGTTACATAGATATACATGTGCCATGGTGGTTTGCTGCACCTATCAACCCGTCATCTAGGTTTTAAGCCCAGTGTGCAGTAGGTATTTGTCCTAATGCTCTCCCTCCCGCCCCCCAACAGGCCCTGGTGTGTGTTGTCCCCCTCCCAGTGTCTATGTGTTCTCATTGTTCAGCTCCCACTTATGAGTGAGAACGTGTGGTGTTTGGTTTTCTGTTCCTGTGTTAGTTTGCTGAGAATGATGGTTTCCAGCTTCATCCATGTCCCTGCAAAGGACATGAACTCATTCTTTTCCATGGCTGCATAGTAGTCCATGGTGTATATGTGCCACCTTTTCTTTATCCAGTCTATCATTGATGGGCATTTGGGTTGGTTCCAAGCCTTTGCTATTGTAAATAGTGCTGCAATAAACATACGTGTGCATGTGTCTTTCCTATAAGTAGTTTTGGATTGGGTCTTGGAGAAGCTAAGAGATGGGGTGTTTTCACAGAAGAGGAGACGTTCCACGGAGTAGGAGACGGAAAAAGCAGAGGCTTGAAATGGGGATTAGTGAGCTGTGTACAGGGGAGAGAAAACGATTTGGCTTGGTTTGAGCTCATGGTTCACACTGAGAGATGGGGCCCACATTTCTTTTTTTGCAAAGGCCAAGCTGTCAGCTGGGCTGGAGTGGGGAATACAGGGGGTGAGGGATGAGGCACAGCAACACTTACCCATGAACTCAGGCAGACCCTGAAAGGTGCAAACAGAGTCAGCACACAAGTGATGATGGGATATCTGACTTTTGGAATTGGAAAAGGCCTTTGAGATAATTAGTCTGTGCTACATATTGGAAAAAATTCAAATTCTAAATGATTAGAGGGACATGTAAAAGGAAGTAAATGAGGCTGGATGCAATAGCTCACACCTGTAATCCCAGCCCTTTGGGAGGCCGAGGTGGGTGGATCACCTGAGGTCAGGAGTTCAAGACGAGCCTGGCCAACATGGTGAAATTCCATCTCTACTCAAAATACAGGAAAATAATAATAATAATAATAATAATAATTAGCTTGGCATGGTGGTGCACATCTGTAATCCCAGCTACTTGGGAGCCTGAGGCAGGAGAATCACTTGAACTGGGGAGGTGGAGGTTGCAGTGAGCCAGGATCACACCACTGCATTCCGGCCTAGACAACAGAATGAGACTCCATCTCAAAAAAAAAAAAAAAAAAAAAAAAAAAGAAGAAGAAGGAAGTAAATTTTCACGGTTTTTTGATGTTGAGAATAACTAGAAGACAAAGGTTTCTTCTTAAAGATGCAGCAACATCGGAAATCCCTGCTTCCCAAACCCCTGAGAATCACTGTTACTAAAAACTTTCTAAGGCCAAGGCTGCTACAGTTGTGGAAAGACCTGCGCAATTTCTTATCGCAGGGGATGGCTGCATCAGTAAACTTGCAATCTAAAGGTAAATAAACAATGATGGATACTCTACCAAATTTCTTACAGCATTTCAAAAAGCATCTAGTTATTGGTATGGTTTCATCTAGTTCCATCTTCAGCGCCCGTTTTGATTGATTGGTAGTGGCTGCTGGAGGGCTGTGCTGAGGAAGATCTTAGATCATCCAGGATCAGCAAGAAAAAGTACAATGATGGATTAAGTATGTCTGCCACAAGTGGGAAATGGTGGGGGCAGATGCATACACCATATTGGACCTTCTTGTGTGATGCCTCTATCCAAAGACAGTCTGGACATGCTGTGGGAAGTGATGTTCAAAGAAGAAAGTTTCTTAACACCTGCTGTCTAGGCACTAAAAATAACCTGTTTTCTGGAAACTTCTTCAATCCATTTTTACCTGAAAGGTTAGCTGGGCAAGGTAGGTCAGCTTATCACACTCGAAGAGCCCGCGAGTGGTGTACTGGTACACAGAGAAGGTTATGCTGTCTATTAGGCTGGCCACCCCCTCCCTGAGGTTCTCGTCAGGAGCAGCCCTCTCCACAGCCTTCTGGAAGACGATACTGAAGGCCTGGGGACAGAAGGCAGGAAACTGGTAAGGTACACAGCCCTCTTACTATATATTGGTGGTCTTACCTGAGAAGAATGTGATCGTTTTCCAGCCCATAGAAATTTTTTCCCAAGGCCAGGCATGGTGGCTCATGCCTGTAATCACAGTGCTTTGGGAGGCCAAGGTGGGTGGATCACCTGAGGTCAGGAGTTTGAGATCAGCCTGGCCAACACGGTGAAACGCTGTTTCTACTAAAAGTACAAAAATTAGCAGGTATGGTGGTGCATGCCTGTAATTCTAGCTACTCGGGAGGCTGAGGTGGGAGAATCGCTTGAACCTGGGAGGTGGAGTTTGCAGCGAGCCCAGGTGGTGCCACTGCACTCCAGGCTGGGCGACAGAGTGACTCTGTCTCAAAAAGAAAAACAAAACAAAAAACCAAAGAAATGTCTTCCCAAAATATCCTGCCAAGAAGGACAATGGTAACAAGAAAACACGTTATTATCTTTTCTTAGTTTGCTCATGTGAATTATCACATAGCTATAAGCATATATGCCTCTGCAGTGATAAGACCAGTGAGTCCTTGCAGGCAGCCTCCTTTCTCATGGACCCTTCCTGCAATGTGGGGCGCATAGCCTGCTTTGGTTACATCTTCTGAACTATACATTATGTGCATAATCTAATATAAAAATCATGTTAATCAGTTTTCCATTGTTTTAAACTTAGATATTGACTATTTAAAAAAGTAAATTTTTGGAATGTTACATTTTAAATGTGATGTGAATAGAAAAAACAAAGAAAATAAAAGCCAAGGCCAGGTGCAGTGGTTCATTCCTATAAACTCAGCACTTTGGGAGGTAGAGCTGAGAGGATCACTTGAGGCCAGGAGTTCAAAACCAGCCTGTGCAAGGTGGTGAGGCCGTGTCTCTATAAAAAATTAAATTATCCGTGCACGGTGGCACACACCTATAGTTCTAGCTACTTGGGAAGCTGAAGCGGGAGTTTGAGGCTGCAATGAGCTATGCTGGTGCCACTGCACTCCAGCCTGGGCAACAGAGTGAGACCCTGTCTCAAAATAACCTAAGAAATAAAACAAAACAAAACAACAACAACAAAAACAGAACAGAAGAAAATACAAGCCAAGATATAATTGGAACTTTTCAATTTGGGGTTATGCAAATTTCCAGCCTTTTCTCTATTTTCCTTTTGTGGCTTCAATAAGAAAAAAAAAATCTTAAGTCTTTCTAACACCACCAAGTATTTGAACATTAATGGAAACCAGATAAGATTTGAGTCTCAATATCTCTTCATTTGCAAAGTAGGAAAATGTGAATTTCTCTCTCCATTCCATGGTTCCAGGGTGTTTCTTGTTAACAAAGCCTTTGCAGCCTTTCTTCTTTATTTAGTTTTAATGATCTTTGCAAAATCTTCTGCCCATGTTCAACCCAATCCATTGTGATGGTTACCTTCGCTTGACAGATTTTAGATAGGAAGAATAGCTCATTAGAGGCTGATAATGTCCCCCCAGCACCACAGAGAGCAATTTGGGAAGATTCCAGAACAGTTTCATAGAGACAGAGTGGAGAGCTTTCTCCTGGCAGTTACTATGGCTGTTCCCTAAAGCTCTCTCTTTATCAAAATAGCAGTAATCAGTAAAGAAGCTCTAGTTATTTAAGTTAAAACAAAGTGATTCACAATTCAGGAAAAGATGTAAAAAAAAAATTTAAAACTTAGGTACATTTAGCATTTTCCTTACATTAAACTAACTTCGGCTCTCTTTTTCTTTTCTGTCCTAAAACAAGAAACAAAACCCAAAAGCTTCTTCTTCTTACTTCTGGTGTCAGAACAGCTCTGGTGCTGGGCCTGATCCCACTTCCACAGCATTCTCCAGAAGGTTCCTTCTCCTGCCAACGGGGTCTTATCATTGACTCAAACTACCTTCATATATATTCAGCAGCTTTCGTAATTTTTTGTAGGGCCTTTATCCATTGTCTCGTATGTTTGGTATTTTTCATCTTTTTACCAGGTTATGAGCACATATAGTGGGACCCGGGCCTTACTCACTCTCTTCCATTTCCCCAAATCTAGCCCATCTCTTCATATATAGTGAGCACTAAAAAAATATTTGCTGGATGGATGACTGTGTCCTGCCAATGCCTAAAAGAACTTAGGCAAAGTATGAGCAATGCTCTAGACCGAGGGTATCAAACTCAGTGCCTTCAGGGGCCAGGTGTCTAATACCAAACAGGGAGGCACAAGGACTGTGGCAACACTGGAGGCACATGCCAGTCTAGGGGGGACAGCATCCCTTGGCTCCAGCAAAATCACGCCACGTGGGATGTGAGCTCAGCGTTGTCAATCTTCCAAACCTTCACGAGAAGCCATAATTTGGAACTTACATAACTTCTCCTCATTTTTCAATGCTGGCAACCAATTAAAGTACTTGAAAAGTCCTCCAAGGACCAAAGAAAACAGGACAATAGGCTGTTGGGCTTCCGATTTGAGACCAATGCTGTGTTATTTTCGCCTCCGCCTATCTGATGCAAGCTTCTTCTATTTTGAGAAGTGTTATTCCCCCAGCCATGTCTCTCTGCAGAATGCACACAATACAGAGAGCTGGGCCTCCCATCAATCTGCAGGAGACCCCAGTGAGGTGTCTTTCACTCTGAGGCACCCTGTGAATGTGTCTTTTTAACCTTTGCCTTGCCTTTGGCTAAATCCTGAAGAAAAATTACTTTACTGCCACTTAAGTTCCATCTTAACCATATTATAAACTTCCAAGTTCAAAACCTGGCTCTTGAAGAGTTTTCGCTTGTGTAAACACACACACAGACACACACACACACACACACATTTTAATATATTCCTGCTCAAAAGACTTTTGAAAGCTGGGATGAACAGTTTCTGCCACGTTGGCCTATCTGGGGTTTCCATATTCTGAGAGCACCTCTTCTTTCTTTGCCAGGAAGGGGAACTGCAAAATCTAACCCCAGACAAAAGCCAAGACCGTGGAAACTACAGTGGTCCATTTTCCTTCAAATCAGAGAAGGCTTCTAAATGCACTGTGGTTTCGACAGTTTTGAATACCCTTACTTCAGCTACTTATCATAAAGCAGTTAAACCTGTTTTTAATGATCAGGTTGGTCAATGAACAGCTGTTTTTGCAATCCTTAATATCGGTATGGTGACCCAAACTCCAGCTCCCCAACTTTAAAAATGGAGCTTCAGAACTTCCTGTATCAGGACACTGTTGCTGCCAAATATCTTACAACATGGTTTTGAACACAGATTGTCGTGGGCCTCATCTAATTTCTTATTTTCAGAAAGAGTCACTGTGGTAGGCTTCTGATGGATACCTATAGTCAATTTCAACTACTCTTGGAATTAGGGAGGTGATCTTATGGTTATTAGGCTTATCATGCCAACTTTTATGCTGTTTTAAAAGATTTTATAATTCTTTCCTGTGTCGCCTTAAACAAAATATGAGGCCAAGTATTGGGTTTCTTTTAAAAACATAAAATATTATAAACACAGTTCATCCGATCTGCAGAGACTCTGAGTTAAAAGAAAAAGATTGGGAAATGATTAAATGCCATCTTCAACCAAATGAGCCCCGGGAACTGGAGGCCCTCTGATTTCTCATCTGCTCGTCACCATCCCCGCCATCTTGGTCTCTACATGGTGGTTTAGCTGAAAACACTTCACGGATCTGAAGGGTGTGCTCTCTCTCTCTCTCTCTCTCTGTGTGTGTGTGTGACTGCGTGTATGTGAAATTTCCATGTGTCTATATACATATGGTCTCTCCTCTTTCTCTGTGTATATATGTATGCTTGTCTTCTTTCTTGGGTCAAACCAAAGAGGTTTAGAAATGCTTCACTGCCTCCTAATGCCTCTTCAACTGTGGTCTTTTGGTGAATGCCCTAGGGGAGAAAGATGTACTTTCAGAGATGCACTAAAAATTTATAGGCCTTTATTTTTTCATGAGTAAGATAAGTTTAGTCAGCTTTTACAATTTGCTAACATCTTTGGTTTTAGGAATATTTCAACAATCATAAGGCAGGAGCTTTGGGGATATGAGGGTCATAAGAAAACTAATTTAAAGTTGGTGTATTATTATTGCCTGCTTTGGACTTTAATCAATACAAGTGACACATTTGATTGTCTATTATAAGTTATTTGGGGACAGGGATCACTTCTCATATTTCTTCGGTATCATCTTCCACACATTCAGTAAGCATAGTACCCACCATATCATGTGTGCCTACTGAAAGAATGAGCCAAGACTTGCTGTGGTGTCCTGTTCTGTTCTAGTCAAAATTACCCATGAGTCATGTAAGACCCAATTAAAGAGATGAGGATGGTAAGAGATGTTTGAAGGTAACATAGCTGCTCTCCTGGCTTTGATCTTACAGACCTGCTATAGCTAATGATTTGACATGGATAAGCTCTCACAGAGAGCTGCATTGGCAATATGACACTGCTTTATTATAATCAGGCAAGAAACTCCAGGTATAAGTCACCTTGAGAGAAAACTGGTACATTGGATGGATCTTGCTGAGGTCGTTCATGATGAAGTAGAGCAGTGAGGCCCTGGCAGCTGCTGGCCGGTAGTGCTCTCGGGCCTCGTTGATTTTCACTTCGGTCACCTTGGCCTCCTGGACCTGTTGGAAAAATAAACAACCACACACTGTTCCAACCAACCAGGGCTTCCTGAGAATCAGCGTGGCCCCTCTGTGTGAGTAGACATGTGTCTGCTTAGGGGATGCAGGGAACAGGGATGGGGATGATAGGTAGAAAGTTGAAAAGCTACTATGGTATTCCTTCCTAGAACTGGGATGAGAAAGGAGGTGGTAAACTTCTAGTGCTTTCGGAGGGTGAGGTGTCAGCTCTTTCAGTTGGGAAGTGTGATCCATGAAAGCCGCCACACTCCATCTCTAATAAGAAAGATTTCATGGAAATGCAAAAAAAAAAAAAAAAAAAGTATGACTCAAAAATGAACTAGAACACTAAGCAGTAGAAATCCAGTACAGTCTTCTTTTTCCTTAATTTTTATGAAATAGTTCATATGTAATTTCACAAAGACATCTTTCAATGGAATATTCTATTTTCAGAAAATTACTTTTTTTTGTTTGTTTGAGACGAAGTCTCGCTCTTGTCCCCCAGGCTAGAGTCCAATGGCATAATCTTGGTTCACTGCAATCTCCACCTCCCGGGTTCAAGCGATTCTCCTGCCTCAACCTGCCCAGTAGCTGGGATTACAGGCGCCTGCCACCACGCCTGACTAATTTTTGTATTTTTAGTAGAGAAGAGGTTTCACCATTGTCGGCCAGACTGGTCTCAAACTCCCGACCTCAGGTGATCCACCCGCCTTGGCTTCCCAAAGTGCTGGGATTACAGGCGTGAGCCACGGCGCCCGGCCAGAAAATTCTTATGACAGGTAAAAATAAGAAACAAGACTTCAGGATCAGGAAGAGGGATTTCTGGTAGACTATGCCTCTAAATGCAAACCTCAATATGCTCTGCCCTTATGCTCCAAAATAGAGGAAAGTTACTGATAATTTGTGGGAGCACCACAGGAAAAGGCAATGATCCTTACTGAAGATGTTCTCATAATAAACAATTACAAACTGCAGGCGTATTACAAAAGGAAACAATTAGAAGACTCTTTTCTAAAACAAAAACAAAACCAACAACACCCCAGAAGGATTGACGGAACAACCTAAAACTCACCATTAACGACGTATGTTTTAGAGCAGTGGACACAAAAGGAAGCATAAAACATGGGCATTATGAAAAAGAACAGGCATATCTGGAAAAGAACTAGCTAGAACTTCTAAAAATAAGAGTATAGTTATTTAAATTTAAAAAGTGTTTGGTTTAAATAATAGACTGGAGCTGAAAAGAAAATCAGCATACCAAAAGAGAAATCTCAGGAAATTGTTACAAAAGCCACTCAGAAAGAAACAGAGACGGAAAATATGTGAAAGAGGTTCATGATATTTGATGCCCATCAGGACATAGCCCAATTTTCCCAGCATGGTTTACACAGCCCTATACAATGGAAACTCAGGCCATCTTTCGTGCCTCATTGCCAGTGACCACTTCCAGTTCCCACCTCTTCTATGGTCCAGTTACACTCAAGGGTAGCACCTCCTCCCTCTCACCCAACGTGGGTTGAGTGTTCCTCCTTTGTGTGTTCACTGATCCCTGTGCTTTCTTGACCTCAGTCCTCAGCCCTGTTTCATAACTGCCTGTTTACTTGTATTTCTTCCTCAGAGGGCCAGGCCCTAAAAGCCTAGGATTATGGCAAATTTCTTGCGTATCTCCAACTTTGACCATGGATCTTAGAATACAGTGGCCTTCAAGTAAGTATTCATGAGGCAAATAAATGAGAAAGAGAAAGAAGACAAAAAGAAAAGGAACAACAAAAGGAAAAAGAAAGCTTCATACAACCCTTGGCACACAGCAGGTACTCAGTAAGTGTTCATTGATTTTAAAGAAAAAGATAAAAAAAATAAGAGATGAAGAGGCGGGGAGAAGAGATCAGTATGTTGGATCCCATTCTCTGACCTACTCTCTCTGTGTAAGTTGGGTCTGTTTCCCTGTCTCTCCTTCCTGGGAGAAACAGCGCTGGTGGAAAACCTAGAGATCACCAAGCAGACTGCTGGTCTCTGGTTGGGGGAATGAGAGTTTGTAAAGCAATTATGGTAGACCTGCCACTGCCCTGGATAAGAGAGATGGGGAGACAGATCCAACTTACACAGAAAGAGTAGGTCAGAGGATGGGATCCAGCATGCTGATCTCTTCTCCCCGCCTCTTCATCTCTTTTTTTTTTTATATATTTTTCTTTAAGATCAATGAACACTTATTGAGTACCTGCTGTGTGTCAAGGGTTGTATGAAGCTTTCTTTTTCCTTTTGTTGTTCCTTTTCTTTTTGTCTTCTTTCTCTTTCTCATTTATTTGCCTCATGAATACTTACTTGAAGGCCACTGTATTCTAAGATCCATGATGAAAGTTGGAGATACAGCAAGAAATTTGCCATAATCCTAGGCTTTTAGGGCCTGGCCCTCTGAGGAAGAAATACAAGTAAACAAGCACCAAGCCGAATGCTGTTGACCCAACATTCGGTTGACTCTTCCTCCTTTCAATCTCATCACTCCAATCTCAGCTGTCCATCATCCCAGAGTGGGTATGACCTGGTTTATCTGTCTTACCCATCATTGCTTTTCATATTTCCTACCTTGTCTCTACCTAGAACGAAGTCTTTCATATTTGGAGAAATCCCAATAATCTGGCAATAAGCATCTTCCCTCAAAGGTATATTGTTCCTGGACACTGTTACAGATATGCTCTGTCCTGCTCAGAGCCAATATCTCCAATGCTCTTCGGATCGAAGCGCAGGACTGAGACGGCAAAAGACCTTGTTGGAGGTTTGGTGGTATGCTGGGACAGAGCATGGGGTGGGCCCCTTTCCCATCACATCCCGTCTTCTAGTCCTCACAGCGGGGACCAAGGGCCTTCCAAACATTGTAAAATAAAGGAAGCTACACACAACAGGGCACTGCGTCATTGCTTTCCAGGATGATACAGTTTTTGAGAGCTGAGTTTCCTAGGAAGTCGTTGAGGTTTTCTCATTAAGATCAGACTTGTGAGAGTCTGCGGTCTGGTGGGTTTTGTCAGGATGCCATCATGCCCAACCAGTCAGCTTTTATAGCAATGCAATTCCTTAGCTTCAGGGCAATTCCACACACTATCTGAGGTATCCATTCTGAGTGACCATTCCCTGCACAGATACCAGGCCCTGCAAAGGCTTAAGTGTTCATCAAATGTGGATGGAGTTGAGACATCAAAAGTATTTTCCAGAAGGTGGGAACTACATAATACAAGATGTATGGGGTAGTCACTTCAGGAATCCTGCCTAGGTAGACTTTCTAGAAGAACCTTGCTAAGACAGAAAAGCCATGTGTGACTTTGACTTCTTTTTTTTCTAAAAGTCAGACTCATTGTCTAAGAGGAGAGAAAATTGGAGGAGGACTCCAGCCTAGGCTGCCTCCCTCGACTAACCAGAGTTTTACCTTTTTCTCAACTTCGGCAGCAGTCTGCTTGGTGACCTCTAGGTTTTCCACCAGCGCTGTTTCTCCCAGGAAGTTCCCAGAGGCAGAGGAGAGGCGAGAGAGGAGACTGTCTTCCAACGTTTTCAGGGTAATTTTGAATCCATTCTGCTGCTTTGTGAGATCGGACTGCAAATATCAAGCCAGAGACAGTCAGGTGCAGATGCCCAGGGCATCCTGCTCTAAGGGTATGCCTGAATAGGGCCAAAGTCCCTTGCCTTAAAGATGGTAAACTGGAGGCAGAATGGCAAAGGGCTTCAGACCATGAGCAGGAGACAAGCAGAGGAGTCAAAATTGGTGCCCAACGGTACAATATTCTGGGCACATGATCTTGAGCCAGTTTACCCTCTTTACTCCTCTGTAATCCCAGTCCCCAGTTGTAGGATTTCTGTGCTGTGCTTAATGCACAATGGGCAACACATTGCATTATCAGCGTTCACTAAACGGAGTTTATTTCTGTGACTAGAGGGTTAGGGTCCAGTTTTAGTTCTCTGGAGAGTTCTCTCTATCACCAATTTACTTTAAGGAACAACTCTCCTATTGCTTACTTTGAAAAAAAATCAGCAGAATCCGTCTTCCAGTTTAGACTGTGTAAAACCTTCCTCGAGGCTGGAGTGGGGTGCTGGTATCCAAGCGGATCTCATCCCATCCTCCCTTTCTGCTCCGTATCCTAAAGCACTAACTTCAGGCAGCTGTAGTGTCTTTGCCCTTGTACAGCCTTTGGATCCGTGGGAAGAACAACCTTCCTGTTGGAGGTTCCAGCCACAGCCACCCTGACCTTTCTTCTGTTTCTTAAAACCATATATCTTGATCCTGCCTTAAGACCAGGATTTGCTGTTCTCTGTGCTGGGAATGTTCTGTGCCCAGAGGCTTTACAATTATTTAGGAATTAGCTCAGATGCCAACTCCTCACAGAATCTTTTTCTGACCACCACTGTTCAAATTTGCCCTCTGGCTTTCCAGTATTACCCTGTTTTACTTTCTTAAAAACTCTTGTCGCTATCTGAATGGCATTGTTCATTTGTTTACATTGCTGTTTTCTGTGTTCCTCCACTAAGAGTGTAGATTCCATGAAGGCTGGGACATGGTTTTCTTTGTTCACTGCTGAATCCTCCATACCTCAAATCCTGCCTGTTACAGGGTTGGTGCCTCCAAGGTATCTGTTCAATGAATGAATGGTTGCAGGAAGCGGAGTCCCAGGGAACCCTGAACTCAAGCTCTCATGCACTGGAATTCCACCCCCCGACCCCACATATTATATAATCTAATCACATTTAAAGAGAGGACAAAAAGCATGTTATCTGCTATGGATTGAATTGTGTTGTCCTAAAAGTTCTATGTCGAAGCCTTAACTCCCCACGTGACTATATTAGAGATGTGGCCTTTAAGGAGGTAACTAAGGTTAAATGAGGTCATTAGGGTGGAGCCATGGCCTGATGGGATTAGTGCCCTTATAAGAAGAGATACCAGGGAGGTTTCTCTATTTCTTTATGTGCAAAGAAGAGGTCACGTGAGGTCACAGTGAGAAGGCCACTGCCTCCAAGGCAGGAAAAGAGGCCTCACCAGAAACCAACGTGATTGCAGACTTTCAACTTCCAGAATTATAGGAGAACAAACATCTGTTATTTAAGCCACCCCATCTATGGTATTTTGTTAAGGCAGCCCAAGCTGACTAAGACATGACCCTAAAATGGTTGGACCTATTTCTGTTACCCTTGTAGAATTTCACTCCATTTAGTTCTGGCAGGTGGACCTGTGTGATCAGTGGCACTCATGTTCATGCCAGGCTCTGCTCTTGGTCATAGGACTGTCCAGTCTCCAAGCCATTTTTTTTCTTTTTTTTTGAGAAGGAATCTTGCTCTGTTGTCAGGCTGGAGTGCAGTGGCATGATCTCGGCTCACTGCAACCTCCGCCTCCAGGATTCAAGAGATTCTTCTGCCTCAGCTTCCTGAGTAGCTGGGACTACAGGCTAGTGCCACTATGCCCAGCTAATTTTTGTTTTTGTTTTTTTAGTAGAGATGGGGTTTCACCATGTCAGCCAGGCTGGTCTTGAACTCCTGACGTCATGATCCGTCCACCTTGGCCTCCCAAAGTGCTGGGATTACAGGCGTGAGCCACCATGCCCGTCCTTCAAACTGTTTTTGCTTCTGCTCCTCAGCTTACCCATCCTTCTTTTCCCAGTATGGTGTTCCCAGGTTGCTACATGGGGTCGGCACTCTTCCAGGGTCTAGTAGAACCCACCTGATTCAACCCAGGAAAAACAGCCCCCCTCCGCAACCTCTCCCAGAGTGGAGTACACTGAAGGCTCTAGTGGCAGAGTGTTTTCTCCCTCCTGTCCTCACCTTCAGCTGCTCCAGGTCTGGCCTCTCCATGCTGACCACAGCTGCCAGCAACTGGTCCTCCAGGCCATCCCTGGTCACGGTGAAGTTGATCAGGGTGGCCTGAGCCTGCAGCTCGGGCTGGTAGTGAGGATTAGCCAGCTTGGTGTGGAGGATGAGCTGGAACTTGGGATTGTATTCACATTCTTTGTCTCCAATTTTAATGAATCTGGAACATAAAGGCTCACGTGAAGGTGAGGTGCCTTCCTGCAAAATTTGGTCGGGGTCAGAATTTGAGGTTTTTTTTTTCAAACAATATTGCCATATTCAGATGGATTCCTCCTGAGTATGTCTAGGATGAGCCCTGGGATTCTTTTTTGTGCTAATGTGGGGAACAGGTGCCGAGGCGGATACATGGTTTCCCATGGCCGCCATGTTTGGTTCTGCACTGTGTACCTCTAGGAAGAGCCATGCCTGTTATGTCAATGTAGATTAGTACATTATGAACAATTTCCAGCAGATGGCAGTGAAGTGTCTGGAGGAAGGTGAGCCACCTTGCAGTTTCCACAAAGGTGCTTTATAGGCCAGCAATAGGGCTTACTTTTCCTCGTGGCTGACAGGGGAATGACATCTATGGGTGAAAATGATTAAGCAAGTAAATGAGCACAACTTGAGGACAGCAAAGGCAACGATGGCCCCAGCAGTGGGTGAGGTTCCTGAGTCAAGCACTCCTTCATGGTAATTACTCTGCCCCTCATACGAACCCATTGCATGTCTTCTTCCTCTCTTTTCCTCTCAACACCACCCCCTGCTTTGCCTTATGCTTGCTAAGCCCTTATCCTGAGCCAGCACTCAAACTAGCAGAGACTCATTAAATTGACAAGGAACCGAGTTGTCAGAATTCAGATGACTGGCTTGTATAAGATGCTCATACTTAAAAGTCAGTCTGGTTTTTGACCAATTTCCTTCTCAAGTTTCTCCAAAATTGTGCACTGTGGCCATTTAGAACGAAGTCAGTTGGGACGTTGGCTGATGGAAGCAAAGTTTTTCCAGGAAACTTTCTCTAGGAGACAAAGGTCACTAAATAGACCTCTGCTGGAAGAAAGAAAGGTGGATGTGCTGCAGGGAGCTACTCGACATGAACTGAAGAGAGGAAATTCCAGGAAGGGCAGACCTCTTCATGATTCTAACCGGGGCCAAGAACCAGCTCCCCACGAAGGGTCAGTGACACAGCTGAGTCTTACCGTCCTTTTTTAATGACTTCTCTCCCAAGCAGAGGTCCCAGAACAGGATCAATGGACTCCTCTAGGTTTTCAATCAGCACCACAGCTCCAGCTTCCAGGGCCTGCTCTATGACTTGAAGGTAGCTGGGGAAGCAAGTATGAGTCCGGGAGTATGAGCCTGTAGCAAGCTATGGAGTCGACAATTTAATGAGACAAGTGTGACCTCTAAGACATGGTGATACAGTTGGAGGCACAGCTATTTGGAATGTTTTCAATGACCACATTTTCTCCCTATGTAAAGTGAGATTTATATGATTATATACACTTTTAGAAATAGGGAGAAATTATAAAATACAAAAAAGATAATGAAAACTATAATCTGTCTTTAACATTTTGGTGTATACTGTGTATATTTGAACATATTATATTGTCAAGTTTAGCTTTGATTGTATTAGATTCATATAGTGGTTTTGTTTTATAACCTGTTTTTTTACATGAAATATATTGTAATCATTTCACCATGTCATTAAATAGCTTTCCAGGTAATTTTAAATGACTGGGTATTAGGCCATATTGATACAACTTAATTTATCAATCAATTAACAAAGATCTAGGTTACTTTTAACTTTTCAGTGTTATGTAGAGTTTAATAAATATGTGAATAGGTTGATTTTCTTAAAGTCAATTTATAAGTCAATTACAGTCAATTATAAGTTGAGGCTGCAGGGATATAATACAATTCAAACGAAGAATAACAATAAAACTTTATGAAACTCAACCAAAGATCTTAAAGTTAACCTAAAAGAATACAGTGAAGCTGGCAAGGAGAAAACCAGTAATGAACAAGAGGAAGGACTCATTACCTAATACTAAATATTTTGTATATTTCAACAACATAGATGTGTAGAAAGAAGGCTTAAAGGACAGCATATACCAACAAGTTAGCAGTGTTTTTGAAAGATGAATTATAGAAGTTTCTATTTCTTTATTTGTTTTTTATGGTAACTCCTACCCCACCCTCTCATTTTTCTTTACAGTGATGATATATTACTTTTTAATGAGAAATACCACAATAAATGTTACTAAATATAAAAGTAAATAAGAGCTGGTGTAGTATTAGATAAATAGAAAAGAATAATGACCCTATTTAATAAAATAATTTAATATATAGTAAAATGACATCTCTAATTAATTGAGGAAAGAATGGACAATTTCATAGATGGTATTGAAACAATAGCTACCCACTTGGAAAATTAGTCTGTACCACATATAGTAGCTTAAACTATATTTAAATTGATTGCATTTCCATGTAGAAAGGAAAACTCAAAAAACTTAAAAATGGGCCAGGCCTGGTGGCTCATGCCTGTAATCCCAGAACTTTGGGAAGCCAAGGTGGGATGATTGCTTGAGGCCAGGAGTTTGAGACCAGCCTGGGTAATAGAGTGAGACACCCTCTCTACAAAAATACAAAAATTAGCAGGGCATGGTGTTGCGCGCCTGTAATTCCAGCTACTTGGGAGGCTAAGGCGGAAGGAATGCTTGAACCCCGGAGGTCGAGGCTGCAGGGAACCATGATTTCACCACTGTACTCCAGCCTGGGTGACAGAGTAAGACCCTGTCTTAAAAAAAAAAACAACAACAAACTAAAGACTAAAAATGTAGGTGAACATTTTAAAAATTCTTGGAGACAAAAGACTCCTGTAGTCATCATTTATAGAATAAATGGCTGACAAATCTGATCAAATAAAAAAACTAAAATAAAATGAACTGTAGTATGTAAAACCTCACAAAAGTAAATTAAAAGACAAATGAGATGAACACATTTTCATTCATATGAAGAAAGAAGACTATACATATTACATATAATGCAACATTTGTATTCAAATAACATACAACAAATCTAGAAAACCATTCAACAGGAAAGTAGCTAATGGACATGAACTAAGAATTAATTGAACATATTTATTAAGGGTCTGCAATGCATTAGGCAGTGTTTTGGACACTAGGGACACATCAATGAGCAAAAAGAACATACACCTGTCTAAAATGCACTGTTAGTCAGCTGGAAAAGAATATTTTAATTAAAGTTTTGGGAGAAGGCCAGGGTTGGATTACTATGTGACTGAAGATGCAAATAAAAATATATCATATTGGCCAGGAGCGGTGGTTCACAGCTGTAATCCCAGCACTTTGGAAGGCTGAGGCAGGCAGATCACCTGAGGTCAGGAGTTCGAGACCACTGGGCAATATGGTGAAACCCTGTCTCTACTAAAAATACAAAATTTAGCCAGGCATAGTGGTACACGCCTGTGATCCCAGCTACTCGGGAGGCTGAGGCAGGAGAATTGCTTCAATCCAGGAGGTGGAGGTTGCAGTGAGCCGAGATAGGGCCACTATATCTATATATTGTATGTATATACATTATGTATATCTATACATTATGCCTTGGCATTCACTCCTCAACAAAGTTTGCTCTATAACATGGATGCATTATAATATTTAATATTTGGTTTGGTTAACTATTATTTTTAACATCATATGTTCAATTTGAACAACCCCGAGTGATCTGGACCTCAGTGCAAGCATGTGGCTGTTTGCTGGAGTGGGTAAATCTTAGGTTTCTAAGTGAGGATGACCTGCGTTCAAATAGTGCCTCCATTACTTTTTTTTTTTTTTTTTTGAGACGCAGTTTCCACTCTTGTCCACCAGGCTAGAGTACAATGGCACGATCTCGGCTCACTGCAACCTCCGCCTCCTGGGTTCAAGCGATTCTCCTGCCTCAGCTTCCTGAGTAGCTGGGACTGCAAGCACCTGCCACCACGCCCAGCTAATTCTTGTATTTTTAGTAGAGACAGGGTTTCACCATGTTAGCAAGGCTGGTCTTGAATTCCTGACCTCAAGCGATCTGCCCGCCTCGGCCTCCCAAAGTGCTAGGATTACAGGCTTGAGCCACTGTGCCCAGCTGCCTCTATTACTTTTTTTTTGAGACGGAGTCTCACTCTGTCGCCCAGGCTGGAGTGCAGTGGCGCGATCTCGGCTCACTGCAAGCTCCGCCTTCCGGTTCACGCCATTCTTCTGCCCCAGCCTCCCGAGCAGCTGGGACTATAGGCGCCCGCCGCCACGTATGGCTAATTTTTTTGCATTTTTAGTAGAGATGGGGTTTCACCGTGTTCGCCAGGATGGTCTCGATCTTCTGACCTCGTGATCCGCCCGCCTCGGCCTCCCGAAGTGCTGGGATTACAGGCGTGAGCCACCGCGCCCGGCCGCCTCCATTACTTTTTAAACAAATTTATTAATTAATATATTTAAATTGTGGTAAAATATACATAACGTATAATGTGCGTCATCTTCATGTGTACAGTTCCATGGCTTTAAGTACACTGTTGTGCATCCATCACCATCATCCATTCACAGAACTGTTCTTGCGAAACCGAAACTGGCTGGGCGTGGTGGCACACCCTATAATCCCAGCTCTTTGGGAGGCTGAGGCGGGCAGATCACAAGATCAGAAGTTCGAGACCAGCCTGGCCAACATAGTGAAACCCCGTTCCTACCAAAAATACAAAAAAAAAAAAAAAAAAAAATTAGCCGGCTGTGGTGGTGGGCGCCTACAGTCCGAGCTACTCAGGAAGCTGAACCAGGAGAATCACTTGCTTGAACCTGGGAGGCTGAGGTTGCAGTGAGCTGAGATCGCACCACTGCACACCAGCCTGGGTGACAGAGTGAGACTCCGTCTCAAAAACAAACAAACAAACAAAAACGAAACAAAACCTGAAACTCTGTACCTGTGAAACACTAATTCTCTGTTCCCCTCTCCCTCCCACTTCCTAGCAAACGCCATTCTACTTTCTGTCTCAATGAATTTGACTACCCTGTTTACCTTGGATGAGAGGAATCATACCACATTTGTTTTTTTGTCACCGGCTTATTTTACTCTGCATAACACTTTAAAGATTCATCCATGTTGTGGCATGTGTCAGAATTGTTTTCCCTTTCTTTTTTTTAACTTCAATTTTATTTAAATTTTTTTCTTTGAAAACTTTTTTACTTTTAATTTTTGTGGGTACATGGGTGCATATATTTATGGGGTACATAAGCTATTTTGATACAGGGATGCATGATAATCACGTTATGGAAAACGGGGTCTCCATGTCCTCAAGCATTTCTCCTTTGTATCACAATCTAATTATACTCTTTTAAGAACTGTTTTCCTTTTAAGGCAATAATATTCCGTTGCATGTGTACATCACATTTTGTTTATCCATTTTTCTGTCAGTGAACACCTGGGTTCCCTTCACCTTTTGTCTATTATGAATAACGCTGCTATAAACACAAGTGCAAAATTTCCATCACTTTTAAAATGGCATACTCCCCGGGGAAATTACTTAACTTCTGTGAACCTCTGCTTCCTCGGATGTGAAATGGAACCAATAACCTTACTGGTTATTAACCAATTGGTTACTTACCTTATTAACTATGTGGATTAAGGACAGCATTTGAGATAAAACCCCTAACACGAAGACTAACGCATATCAACTTCCTAACGAATGATGTCTGCCTCACTGCCTCTTCCCCATTGCCCCATCCTGTTACCCCAGGTGTCCTGATGACACCGAACAGGATGAGTACTGAAACCGCGAGGCTAAAATGAGGGGAGGCATGAGGGATGCCGAGTCCCAAGTCACTGAAGCCTGGTGGGTGCTGGCCAGACATTCTCTGTGCCGTTCAAGTCCCTTCACGTGGTAACTTTCCCACAGGTAAGTACAAAGCCACATGGCAGGTACCAAGGGCTCTCAAGGTTTTATAACTAACTCAACTGCTCCACGCGACCTACTGAAATGTCAAGTTGTGCCTCAGGAGGACAGTTTTGTTCATTCTATGTGGTTCTAGGGCAGAGGTAGAAATAATGGGTAGAGGAGAGATAAGGGAGGCAACTTTTGGCTAGGTGAGGAAGACTATAAAGCACAGAGCTACGTGACAATGGGATGTGAAGTTTGGGGAGGAAATGTTTAAGGGACAATGAGAGGATGAGCTCCAGAGATGGTGAAGAAAGGACCCCAGAATGGGTCAAGAGGTTGTGGTACATAATTTCTCATGTGGATGAAAAGCAAAGACTTAGTACCCAGGCATCCTTCATTGAGATGATTGCTAAAATGGGAGGAGAAACATGAGAAGCCTGATGGAGAGACCAGGTGTGTACAAACCATTCACTGTGGCTTAAAATCTGCCTATGATCTATACATTTTCCTGCACAAATGGCTGAAGTGGGAACTTTTGTGCTCAACCACTTACCCTTTCTGGCCAATCTGCGTGACCTGGAGATCTTCACCGTATTTATTCTTGATCCATTTGATGCCTTGTAGCTGAGGGTCAACCATGAGTGGCCAGCGCTCACAGTTGAGGAGGATGGTGGCGTTCTCCACGGACATGCGGTCGGCTGGGAGGCCCTCGTTCTGCCAGGCAGCCACGTCAGCATCGTCCATCAGCATCCTCAGGGGATCCAGGGTTGGGGTGACAGGAACGGGAGTCTGGTGAAGAAGAAACGCCAACCCACACTCAGAACAGAAGCAGACATTCTCAGTTGGGTTGAATACATGGTTACTCACCAAATGACACAACTCCTTTAAAAGCAAGATCAACATCCCACTGAAGAATGCTTTTCTGGCTGTGTGATTATTTCTGGAAGCAGGTTCTATTAAAGTCCTGATGACTTTTTTGTTTTATTTTCTCTCCACAGATGAACAACTGCAGAAATTCAGCTCGTGTGAATGATTCTTTGTTTTTTGGTATCTTTACCCAGATCAAGTTTCTACTAGATTATCTGTATTTTAATCTATGACGTCCTACACACTCTCACCCATGTTAACAATGTTATTTCTCTGCTATATGTCTGTGTTTCTTGTGCATGTTCCATGAACCAACCAGGTCCCATGCCTAGTGGGTTTGCTCCTGTCTGTACCAGCCGGCACAAACCACTCTTTCTGCTCATCTGTTTCACCAGCTTGCAAGAGGCTGCGTGGGTTTTCTTTTCCTCTTCCCCAAACACCCCATTCACCTGCAGGGCTCTTTCTTGCAAACCTGCCTGCTGGTGCCTGTGGGAAGCTGGTGAGTATTTTCAGTCTGAGAACTTGCCTGTGGCCTCTCTTCTGCCCCTTCAGGGCTCCTGTATGTGCCCTAGACACTTCCTTTTCTTCTCTATTAGCCATTTTCTGCTCTCTGAATTCTTTTTTTTTTTTTTTTTGAGATGGAGTTTGGAGTTTCGCTCCGTCACACAGGCTGGAGTGCAGTGGCGTGATCTCAGCTCCCTGAAAACTCCGTCTCCCGGGTTCAAGCGATTCTCCTACCTCAGCCTCCCAGGTAGCTGGGATTACAGGTGCCTGGCACCGCACCAAGCTAATTTTTGTGTTTTTAGTAGAGATGAGGTTTCACCGTGTTGGACAGGCTGGTCTCGAACTCCTGACCTCAGGCGATCCACCCCGCCTTGGCCTCCCAAAGTATTGGGATTACAGGCGTGACCCCACTGTGCCGGGCTCACTTAATTTTTTTACAGGCAATCTTTTTCATTGATGACCCCTGTATATATTTTTAAATTAAGGTAACATTCATACAAAACAAATTAACCATTTTAAAGTGCACAATTCAGTGGCATTTAGTCTATTCATAACATTATGCAGCCATCAGCTCTACTTCCAAAACATTTCATCTCCCCCGTATCCCATACTCATTCAACAGCGTCCCTGATTTCCCTCTACCCCTAGCTCGTGGAAACTACGAATATGTTTTCTGTCCCCTTGGATTTTCTTCTTCTGGATATTTTACTATAAATGAATCCTACAGTGTGTGACCTTTTGTGCCTGGCTACTTTCACTTAGCATAATGCTTTCGAGGTTTAGACAAATACCCTTTTAACCCCTTCACCTCACTCCTCTCTGAAGTTTGTTTTGCCCAGTTATCCCAAGGAAACCTCTCCAAACCATCTCCCATCCTCTTAATTGTATCTATCAAGGGCACAAATGGCCGGTACTACAGTATCCAGCAAACCTCTGAAGGGAGATCTGCCCCTTGGGGAATCTTATCTGGGACCAGAAATGTGTTCCAATATATTTTTTCCCTTTGTAATCTCATGCATTCTATTTGACGTGCTCAAAAACATTATTCCGAGAAGGAATCCGTAGGCCTCACCAGACTGCCAAAGACGTCCATGACACAAGAAAGCTTAAGAACCCAAACAAAGCCAGAAAAATCCTCACTAAGCTGCTACTAAGCTCTTCATCTTCATTCACTCAGTTAATAATGGTTCCCTCAACAATTTCCTTTTTCTGAAAGTGTTTAGGATGAGTAAAATAACTGCTTTATTTTTTGTTTATTTGCTAGCACTGTAACATTTTTAAAACGACTGTTCCACTAATTGTCAGGTGAGCAGGGTTTTATGAGCTGATCTGAGAAAACAATCATCAAGATAGAAAGAGTTTTTGTTCGAAGGTTCTACTTACAAATAGATTTGGAATGCAGCTTTTACCTTATATTGTGAAATTTGGGGCTGACTTTCACCCTAGCTGACTTTTATGATTCTAATCTCCTCAAGTGGACTGTGAACTTGCCAAAAGTATCCCGGTCCTGAACGTTTTGTGTGCCCCCTGTATAGTGGAGTGCTAGGACATGCTAAATACATAGGGAGTATTTGTGGCTTGCTATGAGTGATGTGAAAGTGCCAAGAAAGTATTAGGACTTCTTCTGATGCTCGGGTCCAGGTACAACTTTGAATCCCCTTTAATAGGAAACCAGTATTTCTCCACTTCGTCACGTTTCAGGGAGTGGGGGGCGGGTGATGTAAAGGGATGGGTTGGGAGTAACATCCACCTAGCCACACGAAAAGGACAAGCTGCACAGCCCACATAAGAAGCATGTGAGCAGCTGTTCAAGGGATCATGCAGGATGGAAGCAGAACAAAAGATATCCGTGAGTCACTGGCACAAGCTGTGTAGCTTTGGGGCCCAGTAACAAGACGCAAGGTAGGATCTGGGAAAGGGAACCTTCCCTGACTGCTCCTATGAAGTTTGACCCTGGAGTGAGGAGATCAGAGACGAATTTTTTTTTTTTTTTCTATCTCCCAGATTTCACAGCTTTAAGGATTGCTAGGAGACAGCCTGCAGGGAAGAGGACTAGTGTTCCCATGGAGGACTGCATTCAGAGGAGACGTGCTGCCCCCGGGTGGTCTGGAGGGCAGTGGGCAGCAATGCAAGGCAGTGTGGAAGGACACGGGTATGGAGGTTTCACACCTGAAGCTCAGAGGGTGGTGGGGGTGAGTGTGCAGGAGGACACCAGAGGATGTGAATTATGACCGTGACGTCTTCCCATTAGTGCCCAGAGGCTGATGTGGTCGGGAGAAATTCAGGCCATACGTACTTTCAGCTGGCTCAGGTAGGGCCTCCAAGTCCCATCCAGGAGGCTCTGCCGATATTTCTTTGTGAAGAAGCCAAGGTAGGAAATGAAAGCCGTTATCAGTAAAATGTCACCACATAACATCCTTTCCTGCTGTTTGAAGTTCTGCACGGCTTCTGCCCACCTCACGTTTTCAGAAGCGAGTCCTCCAATCTACCATTTCAAAAGCCAGAGAGGAGAGGAGGCATGTTACATAGCAGGTCATAGAGTCATGATTCCATCATGGAGAGCACCCACTGCACGCTTCATAGCGGGAAGAGGCAGAACATCACTTATATGGCCCTTTCCATCAACGGGGATTTGTGCTGCCTGCAGCAAGCTTTCGGTACACAAGCCCCATTCTGTGTCATGCATCGTATGAGCCATAGAAAGATGACAGGTTTGACTCTGCTTTATGTGTGGAGACTGATACCACTCAATCAAAGGGTTGTTGAGAGGATGAAATATAATCATGTATGATTATTATTTAGCACAATACCTGGTCTGTGGAACATGTTAGAAAATTAGCCACTTCTTTCTCCTTTCCAAATGATGGGGAAATGAACATAAACAAAATCAAGTCCATGCACCATAAATAATTCACAGCGGGCGAGGAGACAGATGTGCTAACTGAGACACAGAGAAGCATGGTAAGGTCATAGGTGTGTACAAAGTCCTGACCCCCTAGCTCTCTTTGGGTTGGTATAGTCTCCCTGCGAGAAGAGTCATCCTTTCTACAGACGACTGTTAGTGGTATGGCGGAGCTTTGCTTCTGTGTTAGGACTCACCCTTTATTTTTTCTTTGAATGATAACATCATAGAACATCAGAGCCTGGACAGATCTTAGAGATTTGCCAACCCAATCATTCCCATGCATGTTTTCAGATTCCACAAAGGCCAGAAAGTCCAAGTAGCTGACCAGAATCTCTAGGTTGGTAGAGACAGGGGTGACTTCAGAGCCTGAATATCCTGACTTCTAGAGCAGAGTGCCACACTGCCTCCCAGGAGCACTGACTCAGAAAGTACGCTAGCCAGGCAGAGAAGGCTGCGCTAAGTTCGGAAACCCAGCAGGGAGCTAAATGGAAGGCAGGCCAGCTAGGAGATCTGGAGGACTTCTTGCACACTGGCAAGAGTTGCTGTCTCTACACTGAACTGTTCAGCTAAACTGACCATCTCAAAGCCACACAGAAGCTGGTCCAGTGACAACTGCACAGACACACATTTGGGTATGGCTGGTCTTCATTACATCACAGCTCTGTTCAGTGATGGCTATGACTCACTGCTCCCCAGATTAAAACATCTGGCTCTGCTGTGTAATTCAATGGTGGCTGGAATAAATGTAAAGAGGTGTGGACTGTACTTCCCTCCACTGGTGAGGAGGGTGCTGTAAAGTCTCTAGCTTGAAAAGAAATCACATCCATTTGACTCTGCTTCTCAGAGTCTTAGCTGATATACGGGATGAGAAATACAAGCCTTGGGGGATTTAAAAAGGCCGCAAATTCTTTGACATTCTTGTCATTAAGAGTTGCTGTCTGTGCTCTCTGCCCTTTAATCTGTGACTGCTTTGACCTATAGAGTACAGTGGAAGTGCTATTGTGCCAGTTTTCACTCCCAAGTCTTCAGATATTGGAACTTTCCACTTCCTGCCTCTTGGGACACTTGCCCTTGATGTCCTGAGTTACTATGCAAGACGTCTGACTACCCTGCTAGAAAGAGTGTGTGGAGAGGCTCCATAGGAAGGGAGAGAGGCCCAGCTGCATCCTGCCTTCCAACCATCCCTGCCAAGATGCTCAGCATGTGAAGGAAGTTGTCTTGGGGCCTCTAGCCCAGCCACTAGCTGAATGGACCGAGTGACCCCAGTCATGACCATATGCAGCAGAAAACTTGGCCAGCTGAGCCCTGCCCTCAACAAACTTGTGAGATATTGTGAAATGGTTATTGTGCAAAACCACTAAGTTTTGGAGTAATTTATTATGCAGAAACAAACACTCATAACACAAGCACCGCTGCCCTGACCTGCAGATTTGATTTCCCAGGAAGGCTGGAGCATGTGTGTATATGTGTGTGTGTGTGTTTTCTGAAATACTCAGGGTCAATAGGTCTCATCCTTTTCTGTTTCTATCTTAGTTCCTAATCTTGGCCACAGCCTTATAATGAAATGTTACATAGAAAGAAACATCACAGTTTGCCTATAAAATGCTAGCTTTGTCTTGTAATGTTTCCTCTGGTCAATACACATGAATATAAGCATGTTCACATTTTGCATGAGCTGCCTGACAGATCCAGTGCTCCCATCCTCCCAACCATGTCTATAAGAAAACTCCTTTGACCAGATCAGGGTTTATGCATTCACATTTTCCTCAGGACTCAATTCCTGCATTTCAGCACATTTTAATACTTCCCTCCAAGTCAAAGCGCTGCTGTGCTGTGCTCATCTATCTTGCACCTCTGCGGCACTTGACAAGCCTGCTCATATAATTACAGCTCGGGCTGCTGTGCCTTACACTCACCAGGCGGTTGGCGAGGGAGATGGTGCTTGCGGTCACTTCGGCTTCTTGCTGACATTTGAGTTTGTCTGCTGTTGCTTTCTCAAACCTGGCTGTGAGCTTTGCCAGGTTTTCATTAAGGTGCTGTTTAGGAAGGAACACAAGGACCATCAGTCATTTTAGCCCATGTCACTGCCAGTGCTCCTTAGATGAGGGTTCACATGGAGTTGGTTCTGAAGGAAGCACTCTGCGGGGGCATTCCTAAGGGACCATAGAAAGCAGGGCAGAGAGGGAAATGAACGCACATTCGGGGAAGATCTCAGGCGGGGTCCTAGCGTGGACTTCATCTTGATCCTGCAGTGGGAGGGTGGAGTGGACATCCAGAGGTGTCCTGCCCCAAGATGAGAGAGCTGAGCTTCATACCCCACCACCGCGGTCATCGATCGAGGTATTGAAAGCTACGAGGTGTGAGGGATGTGGATAGGGGGAAGGGTGCATAAATTCTGCCTCTGCTTGAGTTGGAGAAAAATGGGTTCCAGCAGCCTGACAAAATGGTGCAGGTGCTGCTATTAGAAGCAAGAACACATCAAAACTGGGGTTAGCATGAAAAAGGTCAACAGCAACCCATGTGGGCCAGGGAGGACCACTGCCAGTACCTGCTGCAGCTAGTCTGGGGCTGGGTTGTCTGGAATCTAAGTCCTTCACTGGCTCTAAGGTCCTAGAGTACAAGGTAATTTTTACTTAACCTCATCTAGTCTCTTCCATTAACACAATGTATGAGAATATAAAAAAGACACAATTTCAAGTTTTAAAAAATGTGTTAAGAATTTAAAATTGAAGCCTGTAGCTTTTCTTGTCCTCTGAGTACATATTTTTATGCACAAGGATACAGGGACACACAGCAGATACCTCCAAATACATCTCAGGTCTGTGCAATAACTGGGGTTCAGGCTGCTTTGTTGGTCATTACTAAGACACAAGAGAAATCAATGTAGGGCCAAGTTTAAACATCCAAGCAGTTTAAAAAGCAGGTGGTGAGCCATCCAATTAAGGATGGCAGACTGGCCATGCTCATTTACCTCCTATACTTCCCAAGACTTCTCTAAAATGATTATGAAGCAATTAAAACAGTCATAAGCCCATTACACCAAGCAAATGGGTGAGGGCCATTTGGAGGGTGAGGGAGTCCAACAGATTTATGGAGGACCACACTGATGAAGGAGTGGAGACCGCTGGAGCAGGGCGGAGGACACAACAACTTAGAGTTAGCTGTTGCTCACCAAAGTGGAAACTGATCAGCCCACAGAGCCCTATACAAACTGGAGATCTCAGAAATGTCAGGTGTGACTAAAGGGGAAGACGAAAATAGGAGGATTAATTGGAAGCCTATTGACTCTTGCCCTCAAATCTCCATCCACATGCACAGTCTACAATGCCACCAGTCACCTATGTCACTGCGTAAGAAAGTCAATAGAGGCAGAAAATAAGGGTGCCACATCCTGGCATAACTCATCAGATCTTGAAAACAAACTCTACCAGTCAACCAGCTCTGCCCTTGCCTGCAGACCTAGAATTAGCTTTTGATCACTACTTTTGTAAACATGAAAGGACAAGAAGAAATTTAATGCAGGCTTAGATTAAGTTAAATAAGATGAAAAAAATGACCTAGGAAAAAGAGGCAGAATTTTGGTAACAATAAAAACAGCAACTACAACAACAAAGTTAAAACTTTCACAGTTTCTCGGAGAGATTCAAGATGACTCATCCACAAAACAAGAACAGGATGTTATTAAAAGGAAGAGAGAATAACAACAACAACAAAAAAACTCTTGTGGAAATCACTATTGTTGTGAACATAAAAAATAACAAAATCAAGGGAAAGGTTAAAAGATGAATTTGAGGAAATTTCCTAAAAAGTACAAGAAAACAAACAGCAACAAAAAGATGGGAGAACACAGAGGACCGATGTAGGAGGTCCAACGTCTGACAGAGATGCATTTCAGAAAATAAGAGTAAACAGTAAACAGAAGGGAATTTACCAAATAAATAATACAAAATAATTTTCTAGAGCTGAAGAAAATAAATCTTTACATGCCAAACACAATATAAAAAAAGAATGACAGCTAAGCACATCAGTGTAAAGTTTCACACACCAAGAATCAAAAAGAAAAGATTAGAAGACTTCAAGGAAAGGGGGAAAACAGTGCATCCACAAAAGAACAGGACCTTGACTGCCCATGAGACTTCTCACCAGACAAAAGCATAAAACATTCAGTGTTCTGGCAGGGTGTGGTGGCTCACGCCTGTAATCCCAGCACTTTGGGAGGCCGAGGTGGGCAGATCACCTGAGGTCGGGAGTTCAAGACCAGGCTGACTAACAAGGAAAAACCTCGTCTCTACTAAAAATACAAAATTAGCCAGTTACGGGGGCACATGCCTGTAATCCCAGTTACTTGGGAGACTGAGGCAGGAGAATTGCTTGAACCTGGGAGGCGGAGGTTGCAGTGAGCAGAGAGTGTGCCATTGCACTCCAGCCTGGGCAACAAGAATGAAACTCTGTCTCAGAAAAAAACAACACACAAACCAACAACAACAAAATTCAGTGTTCTATGCACAAAAAATTAGCAACTCAGAATTCAATACTTTGCAAAACTGTTCAGTTTATGAATAAAACGAAGACATTTCTAGACTATAACAATGCAGAAAATTTGCCTCTTCGTTAACATTTCTGAGAACGTTCTTTGAGAATGAGCCGTAGCAGAATAAGAGAGAGAAAGGTTGTGGCAGCAAAGAAGGACAAACAAAGAATACTTAATTGAATGGAGAGTTAAAAAATAATGGATGCTATGCAAAAGGATCTAATGCAAGAGAAAGAGAGAATAAAGAAAGGTAGACACTCTGGGGAGTGGGGGTGAAGAGATTGTGTAAAAAAAAGAAAATGTAATTATAGGTCTGTTATGAACAATATAGACACGTTCACAGAATAGAAATGGAATTGTTGCTTTTTTAACTTTGCAGATCAGTCTATTGACAGAGCATGGGTCACTTAATTTTGGTTACAGAAAAAAATGTATTTTCAGTTTTGGTGATTGCAAAACAAAAGTAATGATAAGCAGTAATAACAAAAGTTGGGAAGTAGAAGGAAGGGAGCTGAAGGCAGGGTAAGGGCGTCATCTTGTGATATGGTTTGGATCTCTGTCCCCTCCAAATCTCAGGTTGAAATGTGATTCCCAGTGTTGGAGGTGGGACCTGGTGGGAGATGATTGGATCATGGGCGCAGGTCTTTCATGAATGATTGAGCATCATTCCCTTGCTGGTAAATGAGTTCTTGCTCAGTTAGTTCAGAGGAGATCTGGTTGTTTAAAAGAGTCTGGGACCTCCCTCTTCCCTCTCTTGCTCCGGTTCTTGCCATATGACATGCTGACTCCCCATTGCCTTCCACCATGATTATAAGCTTCCTGAGGCCTCGCCAGAAGCCGGCACCATGCTTCTTGTAAAGCCTGCAGAACTGTGAGCCGATTAAACCTCTTTTCTTTACGAATTACCCAGCATCAGGTATTTCTTTTTTTTTTTTTTGAGATGGAGTTTCACTCTCGTTGCCCAGGCTGGAGTGCCGTGGCGCTATCTCGGCTCACTGCAGCCTTCCTCCCAAGCGATTCTCCTGCCTCAGTCTCCTGAGTAACTGGGATTACAGGCATGTGCCACCACGCCCGGTTAATTTTGTATTTTTAGTAGAGATGGGGTTTCTCCGTGTTGGTCAGGCTGGTCTTGAACTTCCAACCTCAGGTCATCCGCCCAACTCAGCCTCAGGTATTTTTTCATGGTAATGCAAGAATAGACTAACACATCTTGAAAGCTGAGAGCTCCAAGGGAGCTGCCTCTATGTGATAGAACAGGAAATAAAGGTTACATCAACTATCAGGCTGGCACAAAAAGAACTGCATTTTTTTTTTTTTTTGAGATGGAGTCTTGCTCTTGTTGTTCAGGCTGGAGTGCAATGGTATGATCTCAGCTCATTGCAACCTCTGCCTCCTGGGTTCAAACAATTCTCCTGACTCAGTCTCCCAAGTAGCTGGGATTACAGGAGCCCACCACCATGCCTGGCTAATTTTGTATTTTTAGTAGAGACGAGGTTTCACCATGTTGACCAGGGTGGTCTCAAACTCCTGACCTCAGGTGATCCACCTGCCTCGGCCTCCCAAAGTGCTGGGATTACAGGCATGAGCCACCATGCCTGGCTGTAACTGCAGTTTTTGCCATTGCTTTTTTTTTTTTGAGATAGGGTTTCGCTGTTGCTGCCCAGGCTGGGGTGCAATGTTACGACCTTGGTTCACTGCAACTTCCGCCTCCTGGGTTCAAGTGATTTTCCTGCCTCAGCCTCCCAAATAGCTGGGAATACAGGTGTGCAACACCATGCCTGACTAATTTTGTATTTTTAGTGGAGACTGGGTTTCATCATGTTGGTCAGGCTGCTCTGGAACTCCTGACCTCAAGTGATCCACCCACCTCGGCCTCCCAAAGTGCTGGGATTACAGGCGTGAGGCACCGCGCCGGCCATTAAAGTAATGGCATTACTTGTGCCATTAAAAGTAATGGCAAAAACCACAATTACTTTTGTGCTAACCTAATAAAACTGGTTATCATAAGTACATTGAGAAGACATGGAAATGAACAACTTCTAGCCCCAGCTAGCTGGCAGAAAGTCAACTGTCTCAATAAGACTCATCAAGCAATAGATACCAGCATAACACATGGACAGAAGTCAGAAATTCAAGGGATCAGGAAGTGGGAAGATAATGGAAACTTGTCAGATGAGTCTAGTGTTGAAAAAAATAGGAGTTGGTGGGGATTATGACAAAATGAGCAAAATTGTGTGAATGGGAAGCCATTACTTAATTCCAGGGTCAATTAATGACGTATGAGAATCTTTTGATTATTTTTAAACTGGCCTAAAATAAGATTTTTACGTAAAAGTGCCTGCTGTTTTAAATATTGGCAATTAATTAGATCATCTGCAAATAGACTGCGTGGGCCAACTGGAACACAGTTGAGCTGCTAGGTAGCAGGCTGTCATGTGATCTCAAGCACCAGAAAGAGATATAAGGGGATTCTTGTTTCTCATCAGAAGCCTTTCTCTACTATTTGATATTTCACTCTGTGTGTGATTATATGCTCAAGGAAAGGGCCCTCCTTGTTCTTACTATTATTTTTATAAATCATAACATTAATATATCTTCACTATAGAACAAAAGAAAATATAGATGAGACAAAACAACCATCCAAAATTCATCACCCAGGGATAACCACCACTGTTAACATTTTTACGTATTTCCGTTCTGTATTAGGCTGTTCTTGCATTGCTATAAAGAAATACCTGAGACTGGGTAATTTATGAAAAAAGAGGTTTCATGGGCTTATGATTCTGCAGGCTGTATAGGAGGCATAGTGCTGGCATCCTCCTCTGGGGAGGCCTCAGGGAGCTTTTACTCATGGTGGAAGGCAAAGCAGGAGCAGGCACATCACATGGCCAGAGTAGGAGCAAGAGGGAGTTGGTGGGGCAGGTGCCACGTACTTTTAAATGACCAGATATCACAAGAACTCACTCACTGTCATAAAGACAGTACCAAGCTATGAAGGAAACTCCTGACGACACAAAGGCCTCCCACCAGGCCTCATCTCTGGCACTGGGGATTACAATACAATGCGAGATTTGGGCAGGAACAAATATCCAAACTATATCATGTCCTACATACAGTAATCAAACTGAAATCTGTCTTGAAATATGCTTTCCCCCCCACTTTCTGTATTATGAATATAAAATTCTTTACTTGGAATTATCCTAAAATCCGAAAAGTAAGACTTGGGTGTATGTATGTGAGATTGGACTACGCTGGGAATGGCCTCACAGCATATAGGAAAGAATCTTCTTGCCCTGGGTGGGTCTCCAGGTTAGGGATGGGTGTTAACCCATCTCCTGTGCTATTAGCAGGAAGTGCTCACATTCCTGGGATGTTGACGGGAATGTGTCTAAGTGGAGGATGGAGAGGATGTTGTTAAAAGCAAGAATACATTTTTTTTTTTTCCAGAAAATATTTTGGCAGAAAAGAAGTGCCTTCCAAAGGTAGCCAAGGATTTTTAAAATATTCTTATTGCTTCCGCAGGTTGAGTGGGCCCATCATGTGAATGTTGGCTACTGAAAAGGTATAAACATTTTGAAAACATTCTCTTTGCACCAACTGTTCCTTTGGTTAAAATAACTTGAGTCAAGAGTCTTTGAAAATGCGGTTCTTATTATGCTTTTCTGGAAGAGACTGAAAAATATAAAAATTATTGGGAAATCTTTTCCTCCCAACAAGCAGGAATATGCGCTGGACATGGTGGCTCATACCTGTAATCTGCCTGTAATCCTAGCTCTTTGGGAGGCCATGGCAAGAAGTTCACTTGAGGCCAGGAGTTCAAGACCAGCCTGGGCAACATAGCAAGACCCCTTCTTTAAAAAAAAAAAAAATTCAGGAGTGGGGATGTGACGGTGTCTTGCATGTGATATTCTTTGAAGGGAGCCATTGTTATGGTGATTATCATCTGTTTTAAGTAAACTAGTCCATGAACATGTGAATTATGAAACAAGCATACTGAGAGGAGGTGAGTTGCTTTGCCAAAGTATCTTTTTTTGTTTGTTTGTTTGAGACGGGATCTCGCTCTGTCACTCAGGCTGGAGTGCAGTGGCCTGATCTCAGCCCACTGCAAGCTCTGCCTCCCGGGTTCATGCTGTTCTCCTGCCTCAGCCTCTGTAAAAGCTGGGACTACAGGCGCCCGCCACCATGCCTGGCTAATTTTTTTTTTTTTGTATTTTTGTATTTTTAGTAGAGACAGGGTTTCACCATGTTAGCCAGGATGGTCTCGATCTCCTGACCTTGTGATCCGCCTGCCTCAGCCTCCCAAAGTGCTGAGATTACAGGCGTAAGCCACCGCGCCCGGCCCAAAGTATCTTTTTAAATAGAGAGATTGGTCTCAAGGATCTTTGATCTAGAGCTTTTTCCTAGAGATTTTAATCTAACAGTCAATAAACCCATGTCGCATGAGGCATATGGCATGTCTACAATCCTACCTTTCACAACTTGTAAAATCCTCCTTACTCTCATGACAAATTTGTAGCAAGAATCTTATGTGCCTAGAATGCACACATAGAAATTAAAGATCCAGAACATTTTTTGGATTGAACTTGATCACAGCCGTGGTTGAGTCCATGCATGAGGTTGGATGTGCATGTGGTAGACGGCACATGCTGTCGAATGGAGCAGTAGTGGTTGAACAGTTAAAGTCACGCTCTCAGTAGTGGTGGCGGCTCCTGCTGCTCCCTTCATCACGGGCTGGGCTCTAGTCTCATGATTTATACACATCACATCCTTTAATCCTCACAATAGTCAATGAAGCAGGTACTATTACTTTGTCCATTCTTAAGCTTTGGGCATTTTGGAAACCTTTCTAAAGATCACACGATCAGTCAATATCACAGCTTGGATTGGAACTAAGGTATGTGGAAGGATGGATTTTTAGCTGCTATACTATCCTCCAGGATTCTGATTTCTACCTGTTACTTTATTAGTACAAATTTTTATGGGAAAGGTGAAGTTCAAGGGTATGAAAGTAAGTAATTCAAGATCTAAGCTGATGGAACTTTAAAATATTTTGAGCCTTAAGGTAACGTGATTAGAGGTTTGGAGTCATAGCACAGGCAGCTATAATGTAGGCAGTTGTAACCTTTGTTTCTGTGATTATAGATTGGCCTTTTTCCTTACCTACATTGTTTTGTAAAACATTCTGAATGACTAAAGGGAAGACTCCTTCCAGCTTCATTGCTAATCTTTGTTGTAGATTAACCTCCCTCTTACCTTTCTCACACAAAGACTCCCCTAAGATGGAAGGTTAAATACACTCTTGTAAATCGAAAAGGAAATGAAACAAGCTGTACAGAAAACTGTAATTAATTAAATTGTTGTAACTCATAAACCAGCCTATTATAGAAAATGTTATAATCCTACTAAATTGCTTTGTTTTCTGCCTATATAAGGAACACCTTAACTTTTTACTTTGGAGCACTCACTCTCTCTCTTTGGAGTTCATGTTTTCCGAATGTCCATTCCCAGTTTTTCACTTAAATCAACTCTTTAAAGCTGGATTCTGGGGCTGGGCTCAGTGGCTCATATCTGTAATCCCAGCACTTTGGGAGGCTGAGGCGGGAGGATCACCTGAGCCCAGGAGTTCAAGACCAACCTGGGCAACATTGGGAGACCCTGCCTCTATAGATTTAAAAAAAAAAAAAAATGGATTCTGATCCTTTCAATTATTTCATGTTTACTAGGAAAATCTCCCCAAATAGGTGTGATTCCAAGATCGCCATCCTCATCTCCAAATCCTGGGGGAAGCAGACATAATAACAATATCTACATGAGTTTATAAAAGTTAATGACCTTCATAGTTTTATATTTATGGACAAAGGGCCACCCACTAAGTCACAGTATATAACTTGCTTTAAAGAACTTCCACAAAACAATGCAGATCGCTGACACATTTCCACACATCCATGCTACTGAGAGTGAGACAGGTAGATAGTTGGTTAGAACTGAAAGGAATAGGTTAAAAAGGTGAAGTAAGGTGGCTAAAACCTACATTTCCAAGGAGAAATAGAGAAGGTCTCAAAATTTTAACCTTTTGTTCTTTACCGTCGAATGTGCAAAAAATATTAAATTCATTGGGGGTCAATAAATTGACAGTGGGCTCCATGAATGTGATTCCTCTACTATATACATCCATCTGTCATCTTTTCTTTCCTCAGCAGAAAAGGAGGAAACCTTTTAGGCCCACAGCTTGTGAGCCAGGGGTCCGGTGGAACTGTCTTGTGTGGCCTATACAATGTTTGAGAAAGAAATGTAAAAAGTTGCCTCTACTGAAAAATGAGATTTTTGCATGAAAATGTGGTGTTCCCACTTCTCTTTAAAAACCAGAACGTTAGGTGTTAGGTGGTGACCGAAGGGTGTTGTTTGCATTGGAGGCGGACTAGCAGGGTGAGGGGCTCTGGGGTCACTCACAGCGATCTTGGCTTTGATGGCGGCCAGCTTCTCCTGGGCAGCTGTGAGGTCCGCGGTGGCTTTGCTCAGCGCCTGGCGCTTGGGTTCCACGTCACAGAACACCTCATAAAACCTCACAATATTGATGATCCAAGAGCAGAGGCCTGCAGCCGCATAGGATTTGGTGGCCACAAACTCGGGATTGAACTCGGGGTCTTGCAGGTACGGCCTGATGGCTTTGAGGCAGTTCTCGTGAATGTTCTCTTTGTTGAAGTTTATTAGCGAGTCCAGGAAGCCATCCACTTTGGCCATGGTGACCTTAGCAGCCTTCCAGCTCCGGTCCTTGGGCACCCTACCCCCGGGGGCCATCAGCACCATCACCGCGGAGCTGACATTGCTGACGGCCAGAGGCGGAGAGCCAAATGACTTCAACTCCGTCAGATTGGTCTGGGAAAAGAGAAGGAGGTCGTTAGGGGAACATGAATGGGCTTTCTTTGTCCTCTGCCACTGATGGAGTTAGCTTGTGGAGTGATCAGTTTGAAAGGGCTGCCTTTGAAGCCTGCAGCAGCCCTCTGAATTTTAAATATCATGACTCATCAAAAGGAAGCCAAAGCTACTCCCCAGTGGCTTTAGACTTCTCTGAATGGTTAGCCAAGACTCAGCTATGTTCTTTCAGCACTTTAACTGACTCGCAGCCCATTAGAAACACACAATTATTTCACATTCAACTGAGAAATATAAGGATGCCGACATACTCTGAAATATGCAGCATGCTATGAATAAAAGATAAGGTTATTATAAATTAATTTCCATCTCGGATTGAAGAGAATAGAACTGTAACCCAAGTAATTTTTTTTTTCCTTAATTAAACTGCTTTGTTCCATGAGCTTGTTCTAACTACACTTGACTGTCCTGATAGCAAAACAGCATTTTCTGCCAAGAAATAATTCAGACAGAAAGCAAGGCACAACCTGTGAGTCAGCTGCTCTGCCTGGTCCTGGGTTTGTCCTTCGCCCAGAGTTTCGCTTGTTCCAGAAAGACGTGACTGAAAGAGTTGATCGTGGCAAATCACTTAAACCTTCCAGACCTTGCCACCTTCATCTGTAAATTGGGGGCAGGAGAACTCACTACTCTGTACATAAAATGGTGTCATAAATGCATATGAAGTTGATTTCAGGCCTGCTATGACATTCAATGAGAAGCCTACAATCAGGTGTAGGGAATTCTAATTTTCTGTTGCTTGCGCATCCGTTTTGAATATAGGTTTAACTTTCTCATACCAGAAGCAGGGCTCAGTTACCCTGGACACAGTTTCCAGTTCTACACCACACCCAAATGGCTCAAGCCAGTAGCCAGAGTATTTGGATCTCTCCTACCTAGCAGACGGGGCTCCCTGCTTTCCTGCCACCATTCAGGCATTTGCTGAAAACCCAAAGTGACCCACATCCTACTTTCTTATATATACTTATACATTAACATAAGATATATCTTATATTAAATATGAAAAATATATTTCTTATATATACTTTTTTATAAATATACATCCTTTCTTTTATATGTACACACACACTTTCATATATATATAATATATATACACTTTCTTATACATATTTCTTATATATACCGCCGGCTGCCATGCGCTTCTCTTTCTCTCTGCCTCACTCTTCATTCCTACCTCTCGTGACCCAGGGTCAGAGCACTACCCTCCCAACGCACTGTGTTCTCCCTGCCCAGGATCTGTAAGTAAAAATCTTTGAATGTGTTTCCCATTGTGGTGGTGTACTGCATTTGCGCCTTCCATCTGAAGAGTGAGGGGGCTGCTCCAGGCTGGGTTTTCTCCGGGTGCTAGACCGAGCTTCCAGCTCAGAGTGATGGTCAGGCAGGCATAAACTGGACATGGATTGGACAAGAGCCACAAGGGGATCTGCCCACATAAACAACTTTGCCATGTGAGGGACCCCCTGGCCATGGGTCAGACGGCTAAGCATTAGGCTGTCTGCCAGGTGAAAGAAATATCGGTGAAAGACGCACTGCAGACTCCCACGTCCTGCTCCCTATCACTTCCCATGAGGGCAGTGGAGCCCCAGTGTAGCTGGAGGCTCCTAAAATGCTGTGAAACCATTTGTTTATGGTGCTGACTTTGTCAGTGGGGGGAAATCTTGATGTCAAAAATTAGATCCTTGTGCCAAATTAATTTGAGGTGCTCTTGATCCACAAACAAAGGGAATTATTTCTAGCTCTGAATGGAAGTACTGTGGCAGATGCTTCATTCACTCTTGCAATGGCTGTCACATTTGGTTACAACACACCTGTGAGGGCAGGGAGGCGGGCAGCACAGGTGTGAGAGGGATATCAGCACATCTGTCATCACGGCCCCCTGAGGTGACAGAGGGCAAAGTGAGAAAATACAAATGTAACCAAAGAAAGCCACGATTTTAAAACAGCCTGAGTTAAGCAATGTACAGAGACGAAAATGAATTTTATAACCCAGATACATCACTGTCAATGTTTCCATGTACAGTAACTCCTTCCAGTCTTTTTCATATTCATATATATCTATAAATTAATCATGACTCTTTTGGTTTTAGTGACAGAAACCCTAGATGAAGCACAGAGGGGGATTTTCTCACTCAAGTATCTGGTGAGGGCAGGCGCGGAGCTGGCAGTATGATGAGTGGAATCCCATTCTGAACGTTGTCGGCAGGGCTCCGTGAACTTTCTCTTTCTTCCCTGTCTCCCTGTGTGTGGGTTGCTTTTTTACACCCTAGTTTCTTCATGTTGGAAGGCACATGTTCTAACTCTCTGGCCGTGGCCCATTTTCTCCTTTTCTCACTAGGCTGTAGCCGTGATCACCTTCTTTCAGTGTATTGACTTGCCAAGCTCATTGCTACCTCAGGTCCCCGCCTGGAACACTTCCTCCTAAGCCATTTGTGTGGCTAACACCTCTGCATCCATCCAGATCTCAATTCTGGCCGGGCCTGGTGGCTCATGCCTGTAGTCCCAGTACTTCGGGAGACTGAAGCGAGGGGATCACCTGAGGTCAGGAGTTCGAGATCAGCCTGGCCAATATGGTGAAAACCCCATCTGTACTAAAAATACAAAGATTAGCTGGGTGTGACGGTGGGCACCTGTAACCCCAGCTACTCTGAGGCAGGAGGCTGAGGCAGGAGAATCATTTGAACTCGGGAGGCGGAGGTTGCAGTGAGCCAAGATCATGCCATTGCACTCCAGCCTGGGTGACAAGAATGAAACTCCATCTCAAAAAACAACAACAACAACAACAAAACCTCAATTCAAATGACCCCCACCCTGTAAGACTCTACCTACCAACCTCCCCTTCTTAATCATTTCCCATCCTAGAGCCATGATTATTTCCTTCAGAGAACCTGAAACGATTTTCAGTTTTTCCTTGTTGACTTACTATATCCCTCCTCTTCATGACAGCAGGGACCCCCATTTATCCTGTTAACCATGGAAGCCCCAGTGCCTAGAACATAAGAAATTATGTAGTAAATGCTTGTCAAAATGTGTGTTGAGTGATTGGATGGAAAGACAAAGGAAAGAGACTTTTTCTCCAACGCAAGTCAAAATTTTAAAAAGCCCTGGGTAAAGATCTTGTTTGGTTAAGCATGGGCCCTCAAGCCGATTCGCATGGAGCAGGCAGATATAGCAGTGTGGCGCTAATAGAAACACAAGACTGGAAGAAACTTTTTTTATTTTTATTTTTTAATTTTTGAGATGGAGTCTCACACTGTCACCCAGGCTGGAGTGCAGTGGCGTGATCTCGGCTCACTGCAACCTCCACCTCCCAGGTTCAGGCGATTCTCCTGCCTCAGCCTCCTGAGTAGTTGGGATTACAGGCACCTGCCACCATACCTGGCTAGTTTTTGTACAGTAGTAGAGACAGGGTTTCACTATGTTGGTCAGGCTGATCTTGAACTCCTGAGCTCAACTGATCCACCCACGTGGGCCTCCCAAAGTGCTGGGATTACAGGAGTGAGCCAATTCCCAGCCTGGGAGAAACATTTCTCAGAAGGCAGAAATTATTAGGCACAGGCGCTCTGGGCTCCACTCCACTTCTGTCTTAGGACTATTGTTCTAGCCGTGTGGCTGCTCTTCCCCAAATATCTGCCTGATGCATTTGTTCTTCTCCAAGTTTTTCTCAAATGCCTCCTTCCTAAGATGGCCTACCACCTCTGCCTCCTCCCACCCATCCTCTCCAGATGCCCAGCCTCGGTGCTTCTCCTACTCTACTCCACATTTTTCTTTGTTCCCCACAGCATCTGTCATGCTCTACTACATTATATAAGTCACTTTGAAGTTGTATTTATTGTCTCTCACCCCTTACTTCTGCTAGAGTATAAGCTTCAGAGAGGCAAGGATCTTCCTTCATGGATGTATCACATGTACCCAGAGCGGTGCCTGGCCTGGGAAGGGCACTCAAAAAGTCTTTGCTGAGTGATTAAATGAATGAATCAACATGTGTGCAGTCATCATTGGACAAATATTATTTAGTATGCATTAGGCATTCAGTTTGAGTGACGGGGACACAAGAAAGGCAAAGTCCTTTTGCTCATTCAGGTGGGGGAGACAGGCAACAAAGAGATACATCTTTGATATTCTGAATATGGAGAAAAACAAACATGACGGCTCATGACAGAGAATTCTTGGAATGTGATGATGCCACGTTAGCTAGGAAGGTCTCTTCCTCTGAGAAGGCCTCTTCAAGAAGCTACATTTCACTGGGATCTCAATGATGGGAAATGGCCAGCTCTACAGACTGCAGGAAGACTGTTTCAGACTGCTAAGCAAACGAGTGTAAAGGCCTGTGGCAGAAGCAAGCTTGGCTGTGATGTACAGTGGGGCGGACGGTCCGGAGAGTGAAGAGGATGGCTGAGAGGCAGTCAGGACCAGACCGCCAGAGGCTCCGGAGGCCATGGGGAGGAGTATGAGAAGTATGGATTTTACTCCAATTTCACTGGGAAGCCACTGGAGTGTTTTCGGCAGGGAATGGAATGATGTGGCTTATGCTCTCAGATGTGCCTGTTGCAGTGTGGACACACTGTGGCAGGGGAGGGTGGATGAGGAACAAGAGATTCAGGAGGCTGCTTAGTCACCTAGGTGAGGAACTGAAGGTGGGGGTCCAGGCTTTTTGCAGGCGAGATGGTGAGAAGTGATTGGATTTGGGATATATTTTGGAGCTAGTGTAGGCAGAACGTAGGAGTAGTTTTAAAAAGAGGTGTGAGAGAAGGTCACTAGTTCTTCTAGAGCAGGAGTTTTTGAAAGTCTGTATATGGACAATCCACGCTTTATCTACAATTTATCTAATTTTGAAAACGTAAGTCATTTCCCGGAGTTTACCTCACAGATAATGCTTTGCTGAACATTATTCTATATAAATCTTTGTGAACATTTTGGTTACTTATGACAATCTTCTCGGAAGTGGA